TGACAGTTAGCCTGACCTTACTACCTACGCTGAAGTTATATATACTTAAATTTTATATGATCTCCTTATATCTTCTTTTAAATTATATATTACTATATCTCTTTTATATTAAAATTACCTTACTTTACTATTATTAATCTGCTATTTTTATATATATTAACTCTTAACTTTTTATTTTTAACCTATCTCTTTTTTAAAAAGTATTTATAAAGCTATTAAGGTTTATTTAAACTTAAGTGCAGTGCCTTATATTAATAGAAATAGCATACTAGTTCTTTCATAAATAGTATTAATTAAATAAGTAAAAAGAAAAGCTAAGGTAACTAAATTAAGATTTATTTATAAAGATAATTATTAATACTGCATTTTAAATAATATTTATAAAGCTAGTATTATTAACTTAAATAATAAACTAAATATTATCTAATTTATTAATATACTTATAATAGTTAAAGGCTACTATAAAAATAAGCTATTAAAAAACTAGAAAAAGTTTACTAATACTTATTTATAAATAATAAACCTTATTTACTAATTTATATTTAAGTTTATTATAAAACCTAGTTAGCTGCTTTAAATATATCTTTTAATTAATAAATTAGTCTTTAAAGTAAAAAAGTTCTTTATATTTTATTAATTTATAAAGAATAAGTAAGGTAAATATAAAAAGGAGAAGGCAGCACTAGGACTATAAATAGCTTAAAAGGTAATATATACCTTTAGGTATAAGTATAAAAAGCAGATAAAAAAATAGTAAAATATTTTTAAAAGTAAATTTATAAAAGATAAGAAAATAAATAATAAGGCTAGTAATAATAAAGCTAGTAATAATAAACCTAATAGTAATAAAGCTAGTAAAGCTAAATTTAGTAAAAATAGCACTAATAAAAAGAATAATAATATTAATAATAATAATAGTAATAGTAAAAAGGATAGTATTATTAATAAAAATATTAATAATAAGAAGGATAGTAATATTAATAAAAAAGATAGTAATTATTATTTAAGTAAGGGTTAATATACTTTTTATATATATATAATATTAACTTATATTATTATTTTTAGCTAAATAAGCTTTATATAAGTTTACTTTAATAACTTTTAGTAAAAAGTAAAGGACTAATAATATTAATAATATAAAGCAGAAAATAATTAAAAAGCAGGCTATTATAGCTTTTAATATGCTTAAAGATATACTTAAAATAAGCTTTAAATTCTTTATAACTATAGATAAACTTAAAAAACCTTAGCTAATTATAGCTAAATACTTAAAAGTATAATAATTAATATTAAATAGCTATAAAGATATAAATACTATAGTAGCCTAGGTTATAGTATAAAAGGGGAGCTATAATATATATTAGTAAATACTTTATAAAATAGGTAAGTTTATTTTAATATTATTATACTTAAGGACTATAAGGCTAATATAGTATAATATATAAAGTAATTAAGGATAAATATATAATATAAAATTAAAATTAAATTTATAATATTTATAAAACTAAGTATAAGAATTATTATTTATATATTAATATAAGTTAGTTTTTATATATAAGCATAGGCTTTTATAGTATTTAAATACTAGGTTTTTATAATAAAATTATAAAAAAAAGCAGTTAAGGTTTATAAAAAGGTAAGAGATTATTTTTATTATAACTATAACTATAATTAAATAATTTTAATTTTATATTACTTTTTAAACCTAGCGCTTATATTATAGTATGCCTTATAATATATTAATAAAACTACTATAAATTAAAATAAAGATATATTAAGGATTTTATATTAAAGATTAAGTATAAGGTATAGAATACTATAATATCTACTACTTAAAGAAAAATAAGTAGTAATAGTATAAATATAGTATTTTATAATTATAAAGTATACTTATATATTATTTAAAAAGTAAATTATTATTTATATAAGTAATAGCGCTTATAATATATAACTATTAATAACTAATATATAGTATTTAAGATAGGTATTTATATATATATATAGCCTTTAAGAAAAGCTTTTTTAAGTTAATATAAAGCTATTATTAAAGATAAAACTATAACTTTAATATAAGACTTTTATATTAATAAGGATATTTATACTAGTATTATTACTAAAATAAAAAGATTTTTAATTTAATATTATAATATAATACTATTATATTATATATTATAGCTGCTTTTAATATTATCTTAATTTACTTATTATATTATAATTTATTATTATAAAAATATAGCTTTTTAGCTTAATATATTACCTTTTTATAAATAAAGTTCTTACTTAAAATAATTTTTATATAAAAACCCTTTATAAGTTAATATATTTTTCTTTATAAAAGAATTACACTTTAATAATAATAATAATATTATATTAGCAGTAATTACTTTTTTTACTTAAATAAAGTTTTACTTTATAATAGTATACTGCTTAAGTAATAATAGTAATATAGTATTAATAATAAATATTACTATATAATAATTTTATAATATAAATACTATTTAATTAGTAATTTTATACTAATTTTATAACTATTATAGCTTTTATATATTTTCTTTAGCTAATAAAAAATAAGTAGTTTATTTATTACTAATTAAAAAAGAACTATATATATATAAAGTTATACTAACTAGTAATAATTTTAAGCAGTAATACTTATATATATATAACACACCTGCTAATACTATATACTAGCCTAATAATTATTATTATGCTGTAAACCTTATTATATTATTATATCCACACCTAAAAGTCTTATATAACTCTGCCCTAAAACACCCCCCGGCCTGCTAGGTACCTACCTACCTACCTACCCACGGCTTCAGCAAGCAAGTAGAAGGTCGAGCATCTGCATAGAGCAGCCATGACGCGAATTCCCCATCTTTGCTGTCCCCTCGCTTCCATCTCTCGAGGGCGACAACCCCTCCTTTCGACTACTTTAGCCGCTTTGTCAGACAAGCCCATCGTGGCCGCCCCAACGCGGCGGACCCTTTGCTACGGGCAATCGAGCAAGTTACCTACCTTGCCTACCTACCCTACCTACCCTACCTACCTAAGGTGTGGACTCAAAACAACAACTTGAACAACAACAACAACACCCTGAGGCGATGTGGGGAGGGAGCGACGGCCGCAAAAGGGTGAGGCACCAAACTCGCTGCTCCCGCAACCAGCCCGGTTCCGCGGCCTGCGCGAGCGAGAGGAGAGAGGGGAAAACAGCGGCCAATCGACGACGGACTGTGCTTAGCAAAGCAGCGAAGTCGCAGTAGTCTGCGATAGCGGCAGGAGTAGCGGGCATACTAAGGAGCCCTTAGCAGCAAGTTGTGCTTGTGCGTGCGATTTGGTGTTGGCGCCGGCGCTGTCTCGCGATTATGAAGATGCCGAAGCTGCTGCTGCTGCTGCTGCTACTACTGCTTGCTACTGCTGCAGCTACAGAGACGGACGTCATTTGACGACAACAACAACCTGCATGTGGATGGCCGCGTGAAATGACACACCAAGAGTGCCCCTTGTTGTCGAGTGCTGTTGAGCGCTGTGATAATCTCCATTGAGCCTTGCTCTTTTGCCATCAAGTTAAAGGGCCGACGCAAGCAACAGGCAATACGCCTCCCCAAACCCCATCGCAGCAGAAAAACACGTGGAGCTGCGAGCTGCGGGCAATAGAAAAAGAGGGGCCGGATCCGGCGATGGACGACGGTTTTGTGCGGGCCAATTGCAGCCCCCGTAGGGCTGCAGCGTTAGATCGGGGCAACGAGCAGCTCGTTGCATTCAATCGCGCGATCGCGGCGCAGTTCCAGAGTTGAGAGACAAGATGCGAGGAAACGAGGCGACGAGGGCATGTGGAAGCGTGCAATAAATTACCGCATGGCTCTTACAGCAGAGAGAGAACGCAGCGATTTTTTTTTCTTCTCTTTTTTGAGAGGATTCCACGCGGTGGGAAATGTACACAGCATGTGTTCTTCTGTCAAGGGCCATTACGGAACTGGAGTGGGGAGCCCATCCCTTGTGTGTCGGGATTACCTAACGTGGGAGCTCCCAAGTTGCGGGTTGGCCGATTGCCCAATCACGGCCGCGCTGCCTCTTACACGGTGGCACACCCAGGCGGCGCGCTCGTCTGTCCGATTGGCATCGATTTGCTTGCCGGATTGCCGCGCCTCTTGTCAAGGTGACGATAAGGTCGCTCATGAGAAAATATCCATGGAACATGAAAAAAGACAAAAGAAGAAGAAGAGAAAAAAAACGAAGAAACAGAGAGAACCAGAAGAAAATAACCCAAAAGGGATAAAGCTGCAGATTAAGAATCAGGGCTGGCAGGCGCCATCACCAACTTTTTCTCCTGGGCGTCTTTTATACTTTGCAATTGCTGCCATCAAACCCATAGACACGTGTTTGAGAGCACAGTCAACCACAGTGGCTGGCAGCGCAGCACTCGCCAGTCATTCTAAGATAACCGAGTTTATTCATTGTTTTCCTGCTAGTAGCACGATATGTTTTTTCCTCTTCTTCTTTGTTCTGAGGCGCTGAGGCCCATCTGGAGCTATTCTGATTCCTGTGCTCGGTTCGAAGTCGTATCAATCTCGTCAGGTAGCGGGATGGGTCAGAAAGAGGGGAAGACGACAAGAGGGACAGGATCGGGGCGTACGTACCTAGGTAGTTAGACGAGCGCGACAAGCACAGAGACAAGTCGGTGCACGGCTAAAAGGGACTACAGCAACAAAAAAAGGTGACAAACTACGAGTACGTGAGGTACTGCAAGGCCATAAGCCAGACTGGTGGTGCTCAATCGCCGGTTTTGCTTTGCAAGGGCCCTAGTAAAGGTCCCATAAGGCAGTAGTTGAGTAGGTACCTACGGAGTGCGGCTACGACGACAACGACGACGACTTGGACGCATCTTCCCCCTCCTCGTTGCCAACGACCCTTGACCCTGCAGCCGGCAGTTGCGGGAAACGGGCCCTCGAGAGGCCCAAGCTTTTGCGTCCAGGTTATCCCGGGGTACTTGCGCTAACGCTGCGACTGGCTCCGCACCTGCATGTATCTCTGGAGCCTGTATGGACGAGACGTGATTTGATTGTGCTGTGTGTGAGAGCGAGAGAGTGTGTGTGTGGGGAGGGAGTAAGGGAGGGAGGGGGGACAAGAAAAGAGGGATCGAGGCTTTTGGCAAGGGATTCTGATCGATCAAGTCCCGACCTCGTTCGCTGCATGCTGGCGCGCGCGCAACCGCTGCAATTGGGCCGGTACAGCCCCGGCTCGCTGAGGTGCTGACCTCTGTGGCTCTCTCGTCAACCTGCCCATTTTCGCGCGCGTTCGCCCGCTCTGGGGAGACTAACTGAGCTCCTCACTTGTTGGAGAATTAACCAAGAGAGATAGACTGCTGCGATACGAAAAGAATGTGGCAGCATATCGCAGTGTAGTAGGTACGTATTACCTTGCACTTTGGGGCAAGCAACATTTCAAGTTCGTACCTAGATAGTGAGGTACCTTGGCTCTTCCCACCCATTGGCAGCAATAACCTGTTCCCTACCTACCTACCTACCCACCTACCCAACCTTACCTACCTACAAACTCTCTTTTTTTTTTTATTTTGCCTTTTGGATCGGCCGCCCAAGCCCACGGGTTCCTGAAACTCAGTTGGGCAATGGCCAGCTTTGCCGCCATCGTCGCTGGTGTTGAAGAATCAAGAGACACAGATCTAGAGATGAAAAAAAAAACAGGGCTGACAGAAACTCCACGCAAAGAAAAGCGACAGCTCTGCCGTTTGCCATCGAGGCGTCCGATTGATTGCCCATGGTGGCTCTTCGGACAGCTCCCGGCGATTCTTGCAAGGAGTCACCCCCAAAGGCCCGCTTCGAACCAGTTGCTAGGTAGGTAGGTATCTGGGTGAGTCTGGGTAGGGCGGTACTTCTCACATGGGCCGTCCACCAAGGTGCCGGTACCTGCCCGTGCGCCCTGCGTCCGCCGAGAGCTCCGGGTACACGCCCGTACCGCACACCCCCGGGGCAGGGCCTCGAATCTGGTACCTCTCGAGCCCGGCAGCGAGCGGGGGGGAAGGAGACAGCAGAAGGAAACCAAGACCAAAGGCCTGCAAGCCACAAGCCACAGACACACCACGACCACGGCAAGCGCAGGACAGGGCAGCCAACACCAAGAGTACGGACCCCTCTTTCCTTTCTCTCTCCATGTCTTTCTCTTGCTCACGCCTCCTCGCTTCCACTTCTTCCCACTTCTCAACAGCCTCCTCCCCCCTCCGCCATAAGCCTCCCAGATCCAGCCCTACACTCAAAAACCCTCGACCTTGCCTCTCCTGGCCCTCGACTCATTACCTTGTCCTGCCTACCTACCTACCTACCTACCTACCTACATACATACTTGCCTGCTACGCCCTGTTGGCGGATACTGATGAGAGCTGCTCGACCGCCAGACTGGCTACCTATATAATATCGGCCACTTGCCCCCCCTGCTCCCTCCTGCTCTTGCTCCTGCTACCCTTTGGACACCTTTGGATCGTTACCAAGCTTCAACTTTCCGTGCCTCGTCTCGACGAGACTTCAATCGCTCGCTCTTCGGTGAACTCAAAACACACACGCTCACACACACGCACACGCACACGCACAGCAAACGCTAAACGCTCAAACGCTCTGGCCAGCTGCCCTGCCGCTTCTCGTGATAAAGACTTCGCTCAAAGCTCACGATAACCGGGTTCTGGAGATCGCCGCCTCGGTCTTACCGTCTTCCGCCTACTACCGCTTGTTGGCTACTGGATTGCCTTCACGCGCTTTGACTTCCGCCTCGAGCATCTTGTCTCTCGGCTTCCTCCTCAAACGAGGTATTCTTCTCGACACCCCTCATCCACCGTTGAGGTCTCTACTTGTCCTCCCTTGAGGTATCCACCCGTCCGGATCAAAAATATCCATCTACTCGACCACCTCCAAGGAGTATCTGCTCGCCCGCCTTCAAGGTACTCATCTACTTGTCCGCCTCTGGGGTAGCTACGAGTCTATCCCTTGAGTTCTCTGATCAACGTCTCGGAGATCTCCATCAGTCGTCGCTGAGATCTCTTCTCATCCTCCTGCAAGGTCCCTTCTACTCCTCTTGGAGATCTCTTCTACTCGTCTTACGAGGTCAATTCTCCTCCCACTACCGGGTGTCTAGATTCTGTCTAGCCACTTATACCATCTCTACCCCTCTCTTAATCCCCGTCTACCTTTCTCCTCCTACTATCCTTTCCATCTACCTATCTCATCCTCCTTATCCTCTCTTCTATCTTCCGCTAAGAGTCCCCTCCTCTTAGCTTCTCTTCTCTCTTCGAACTGACAATCGAACCTACATCAACATATCGCCTCTCAATCTATCTTCTCTCTCGGGATTACTAACAATCCTATATCGATCAAACTGTTGTCACCCTCTCTTGTCTCTTCCTTGGCCATTCTCCAAGGTTTTCTCCTCGGTCTTCTACTGAGGTCTCTTCTAGCTCTCTCTCTTGAGCTAATAGCTTCTCTTCTTCGTGTCCCTCTCGAAACTCCCGTCCTCATCTCTCGTCATCCTTCGGCTTCCCCCCGTTGTACTCGTATCCCTCGAGTCTTCACGTTTCTCTTCACTCTTACATCCTCTGTGTATCGTCTGTCAACCTTTCAAAGCCAAACATGTCTGATCAACCTCGTTTGACCCCCACCTTCCGTGGTTTCATCAACGACACTACCGACGCTCTGATCCTCTTCTCTGCCTGTCTCGACGGAATCATCAGCCACGTCCCCCGCCGCCCTCATGACCGCGAGCGGCAGCAACTCATCGTCAGCGGCAGCGTCTTCATCTACGAAGAGCATGCCTCGGGCATCAAGCGCTGGACCGACGGTATATCCTGGAGTCCGAGCCGCATCCTAGACAATTTCCTTATATACAGGGAGTTGCAAAGGCCGTTCCCGCCTGGTGAAAAGAAGCGTGCCCTTAAACGCAGGAGAGCTGGCCACGGCATACACAAACCGGTGGCCAACAGCTCGGGAGGTACACAGGACATCGAGCGATCATTGGTCGGGTCTCTGACGGATTCGTACGACTTCAAGGGAGACGGATTGGTCAAGAAGACCATCAGCATCAACTACCGTGGCGTCCCGCACCACCTAGTCAGCTACTACGACCTCGAGGAGGTCAAGTTTCTCCCGACTCCGAGTACCTTCCGCCAGTTCGCAAATGTGCGGATTCGTCCCGAGCTCTACCTCAACCAGAACTTCCGCACACCCGTGCCTGGAATGCCCTTGGTGTTGCATCAGCATCTCGAGGATCCCAACGACCCCAATGCCGCCGCCGCTGCAGCCGCTGCTCATGGCCTCTACCTGCCAGTGTCCGCCACCGATATCACCCCTCCCGCTCCCACAATCACTCCCGAGCAGGTCGTCTTCACTCAGGCCTTGGCTGACATGGCAGTCACCGCCGCTGCCGTCGACTCGGTTTACACTACTGCAGATTGGGTTCCCGCCATGTTCGTGACTGCCGATGCTCAGGCCCACGCACAGGGCGAGGGTCATAACCACCACCACCAGCAATACCAGATGCAGCAGCACGCTCAACTGCAGCACCACCATGGACATAACTACCCGCAATTGCAGCAACAGCAGCTGCAGCAACATCAGCTGCAACAGCAGCAAGCTCAGCAAGAGCAGATGCATCAACCGCAGCTGATGGACATGCAACAGCAACAGCAATTTCACCAACAGCATCAACACCTGCTGCACCCTAGCCCCATACAGCCTCAGCATCAGCTGCCCAGCCCTGTGCCGCATCCACATCAGAATCAGCACCCCAGCCCCGTGCAGCATCAACAACATCAACGCCGCAGCAACGCGATGCAGTATCAGCATTCGCAGTCTCAAGAGCCGCCGCAGCACCTGTTCCAGCAGGCACAGCAGAGACACCACGAGCAGCGGAACGCCTTACAGCCGGTCATGTTGCAGCACGGTCATGGTGCGCTATCGCTAGGAGGGAACCCGCAAAACACCACCAGCACTTCTCACTATGAGCCTAGTGCCGAAGAGTGGGTTACTTGGTTCCCGGGCGCATTATAAATCACACACTCAAGGACGGCAAACAGGTTGACTGGCTGGCTGGCGTTTGCTCATATACTGTATCTATATCTCCGTCTCTTTTCATGGCAGGCTTCGACGAGGCACGCAACATTGGGTTTGGCTTGGCATCATACGGGCGTCACGGGGCATTACGGCTTTGCGAAAAGTTTGTGCTTTATACCGGACTCGGCGCGGGCACAGCTCGCCCTGGGGACTTATCACGGCCACTGTTCTCGGGCCCAGACCCGATTGAGCTTTGGGATGGCGTTTCCGGATGACTTTTGTGGATGGGATTTTCGGTTACCTTGCGGAGTTTCGGGCGTATACAATACCCCCTGGTCTAGTTTCTTGTTGTTTTGTTTCGATATCTCTGTGTTATTTTAATTTTTAATATTCGAGGTCGGGATGGGCCGATCGGGATTGTTGGGTGGTAGAATTCTTGGCTTCCTTAATTTGGGTTCGCGGAGGCAGCAATACTTGCACAGGTGCACGGCTAGGATGCTGTTTGATTAGTTGTACAAAAAGACAAAAAGAGGGAAAAAAAAAAAAAAGGGTTGCTCTTAGATAGGTCTGTTGCAGTATTAATAAGAGTTTTTGCTCACCATGCTGCCCTCCACCCGCATGTGCCTCTGTGATTGCTTGCTAGTAGCTGTTGGTTGATGGCTCTCTACCTACCGTAAGAACGGCAGAGGTGAGCAAGATGACGTTGCAGCTCGATCGTGGGTAACAAGGCCCATGAAACTTGGAGGATATGCTTCTTTGGACAGGGCCCCTGTCCCGTGTGTATTGTACCTCTCACAGCTGGGTCGATAGGATGGCGTACATGCCCGGCTTCTTGGCCCTTGGATGTCTTCAAGAGGCGCCGTTTGAGTCGACTCGTCCACGGCCTGCCTCGATCGAGCCATGACGCAGTTTGAGGCCAAGGTGTGGTTAAGCGGCGATGAGACGGGCCTACGGAAGCATGCCCTTGAGATATAATATATGTGACGATACATCTGTCTATATATGTATAGGGCTATAATGATAATGCGAGTGCGAGTACTTATGTCTAAGTAGATTTAGTGGTTTGAGTTTTGAGGTCATTTATCTGGGTTGGGTGTGTTCAAAGAATGTCAAAAGAGCCATATGTAGTATTATATAGACTACCTAGTGGATATATATACAAACAAACCTTGATAAGGGCCCAAGATAGACACTGCAAGGATAGGTATGGAGAGAGCGAACATTGGATGAATGATTTACCTAGGTATTTAGCACGTGTGTCTTGCTCACCGAATGATTCGAGTCCCGTGGACGACCAAGGTACTTTGCTTGTTGTGTAATATTGTATGAGACTGCAGGTATCTTATTACTGGCTAGCAAGGTACCTAGGTGGTCTTGTATGAGCATGTGCATGTGCATGGGTACCTTATTACCTTAAGGGTGCCTCACGGAATCGACGAGCTGACGTCGTTTAGCAGCAGAGATCCATGCAGTGCATCGTCATTTGACGCGCCTCAACAGACTTGTCGTGCTCAACGCTTTGCCTCTGCTTCGTCCTCCTCATTCCTCTTCCTGGAATCATGAGTGCAAATGTCCTTGTTATTCTTTATCATTATTTTCTAGATACAGGGACCCGATTTGTTGGATTTCCTTTTCCTTCCATCTTTGATTTTCCGTACCTTTCTTCTCGTTACTAGTAGTAGCTTCCCGCTTTTTGACCCCTCCATTGGATCTCCCTTCTTGGGGTAGCTCCTCTGCCAGGTACCTTGCCTGCCTTGCCTTGCTCCTCTTTTTTTTCCCTTTTCCTTTACCAACTACATCATCGATTCTCATCTTCGGACAACTCGCTCGACTTCTTGGGCCAGGGCGCAGACGTTCGCGATGCTGCTATTCCTGCACAGGCGTGAGTGCTTCATTGCTTGCTCTCTCCATGATATCCTCAGATTACTTCTCAACTGAGTCTAACGTGTATTGTGTCATTGTTGCAGCTTTCGAGGCGCTGGCACCGAAGCTGGGTGCTTCTCCCGACGAACGTAAGAATCAACACCCCCCAGTCTCCTTGACAGACTCAATCGACGTGAACCTGCTCTAATTGAATACCGCTCTCCCATCGACAGTCAAGCTCACCTTCTCGTTCCTCCTCTCGTATCCGCTTGCGGGAATCCTCAAGCGCCTGCCGGACGCGAAGCCGATTCTAAAGAACCTCTTCATCATCTGGTAATTCACCGCCAGCAGAAAACCATAACAAGAACCCGTTCTCGCCGGCATCAGAGCTGACCACCTTTGGCGCTTCCTCTGCGCCTCTCGACCGTGAAAACAGCGTCTCTCTCTTCTACCTCGTCGGCCTCTTCGACCTCTGGGATGGCATCGTCACCCTCGCCATCAGCGCCGGCGGCGCCTACGCCATCGCAAAGTACCTGCGCGGCAGCCCCTACATGCCCTGGATCGGCTTCGTCTTCCTCATGGGCCACATGTCCATCAGCCACATCCAGCGCCAGATTGCAAACAACCCCTCCGTCGTCGACGTCACCGGAGCCCAGATGGTGCTCATCATGAAGCTGTCCGCCTTCTGCTGGAACGTCGCCGACGGCCAGCTGCCGGCCGACCAGCTGTCGGAGCTGCAGCAGAACCGCGCCCTCAAGGACCTGCCGCCCCTTGTCGACTACGCCGCCTACGTGCTCTTCTTCCCGTCGCTGTTTGCCGGCCCGGCCTTTGACTATGCCGAGTACCGCCGCTGGATCGACACGTCCATGTTCGACGTGCCCGCCCAGATTGACCCTGCCAAGAAGCCTCCTGTGCGAAAGAAGCGCAAGATTCCTCGCAGCGGCACCCCCGCCACCAAGAAGGCTATCACAGGCCTCGTCTGGATCGGCCTCTTCGTCGCCTTGTCGGGCAAGTTCAGCACCGCCCACGTCACCGACCCGTCGTTTGTCGAGCGCTCGTTCCTCCAGCGCGTGTGGCTGATCCACATGGCCAGCCAGGTAACACGTTTCAAGTTCTACGGCGTCTGGGCCCTGACCGAAGGTGCCTGCATCCTGGCCGGCCTGGGCTATAACGGCGTCGACCCCGTCACCGGCAAGGTCTCGTGGAACCGCCTGCAGAACGTCGACCCCTGGATGGTCGAGACGGCCCAGAACCCGCGCGCGTACCTGGCCGGGTGGAACATGAACACCAACAACTGGCTGCGCAACTACATTTACCTGCGCGTGACGCCCCGCGGCAAGAAGCCCGGCTTCCGCGCCAGCATGACGACCTTTGTCACGAGCGCCTTTTGGCACGGCTTCTACCCGGGCTACTACCTCAGCTTTATGCTGGCCAGTCTGATTCAGACGTCAGCCAAGAGTGAGAATCTTTGCCCTTTATCCTCCAATCCTCTCTGCTCATTCCATAAAAGAACATTTACTGACATCTCATCCTTGTGTGACCAGACTTCCGCCGGCACGTCCGCCCCTTTTTCCTCGATCCCATCACGGGCAACCCCACGCCCAAGAAAAAGTACTACGACTTCGCCACGTACCTCGTCACCCAGCTTACCTTTTCCTTCACGACGCTGCCCTTCCTCATCCTCAGCTTCAAGGAGTCGGTCCGCGCCTGGTCCCACGTCTACTTTTACGCCTTCATCTGGACCACGGCGTCGCTCGCCTTCTTTGCGTCCCCCGGCAAGGCGCTGCTCAGGAAGAAGCTCGAGAGCCGCCAGGGCAAGGCCAGCGCGCGGCTCAAGCGGACGACGAGCAGCGAGAGCCTCTCGGGCAGGGAGCCCATTCTGGGCATCTCCAAGGATCCAGAGGGGGACATTGCCGAGGCTGTCAATGAGTTTAGGGCGGGAGTTGCGTCGATGCAGAAGAGGAGGACACTTTGAGAGGGGAAGGGGGGGGGGGGGGGGGGGTTCGGGAGGAGTGAAAGATGCTTGGTGAGACAAAACATTTGTTGTTGTTTGGGAAGTGTTTTTCGATGCTTGGGTGTTGTTGTTAGCATAAGATGGGATGAGACTATGACATATAGACATTGGCGAGATGGGATGGCATGTATTTGGCATTTAATGAGCGGGTTGAGAGAGTATGCGAATGGGTTTGGGACACTCCATCCGAGGTGTTCTGTTCATATTACAAAGACAGGAGGTCACGTACGTCAACATGATAGCCATGGCGCACCAAATTGTTTGTTTCTATCATGTACCTCGGGGAAAACATATCAATCACATAAAACATATAGTATAAAGAATCTCATACATCTGCTGTTGTCAAAGTTCTAGCTCTTGAAGACCACTCCATCATTTATCATCACCTGCCTTCATCTTTGAACTCATTTTCCATCCAAAGTTCCCTCCCACCCACTCAGTGAATCATCTCCAATGGACATCATGCTGTGTATGTACATGCTCCCACGTTACAGATTCCCCTGCCAAAAAGATTCAAAGTTCCTCCTCAAAGCCCCATCCACTTCAAAGCCACCATCATAAGCCTCTCATGCTCCATCAGAATTCGAATGAAGAGAAGAATAGGATATGTAAAAAAAATAATAAAGTTGGAAAAAAAAAGCGTTACGCATAAGAAGTCGTCGTGCGTGTACATGTGTATGTAATGTATGTATGGCTGTAAGTAAGTAGTGAGGAAGAAAGAATCGTCATCTCGTAAGAGCTTTTGCGCAAAAAAATCGAATGTCAGTCGGAAAGGGATATCCAAAATCGGCGCCGTTCCATAAAAGGGAATAGACAAGGTCCCCTTGACAAGTGGTGTTGTCGTCCCGCCAGAAAAAGAAAAGATGAATGCTGAAAATCCAAAACCCGTCGCTTTTTATAATGTTCCCCCAGGCTTGATAGAATTGTGAAAAGAAAAAGCCCCCCCATCAATGCCACTGCTGCTTCGCGCCTACAGCGATGAGGATGATGCAGAGACTGAGAATGACGGCGCCAATGATGGACATGCGCCGGTTGACGCGTCTCCACCACTTGAGCCGCTCGTGTAGGCGCTCCGCGTGGATGTACTGCCTCTGGTGTCGTGCCTCCATTCGAATATCGAGATGGCCAGTAATGTAGATTCGCTCCGTCATGGCTCGCTCCGGCTTTGGGGGGATCGGTAGAACGGCGCCAAGCATCCACGCTGTTATTCCTGTCCATTAGCCAAGTAGTCTCTCCAAGGGAGCATCTCGAACAACTCACTCAAGGGGCAGATGAACCCAATGATGAACAACACAAGCTGAATGTTGCGTCGCCAAAGGCCGAAATCAGCAGACTCGGACAATGAAGGAGGTGACCAGATGCTATATCGGCTGGCACGCCTGTCGTGTTGCAGATGCGGCGACCAAACGCTCGACGTCTTCTTCTTGACGACACCAGAGTCGACGGGCGCATAGGGCTGGGGCTGAGGCACTGGCCTGATGTCCATCGAGTCGGATTCGCTTGCTCGTCTGTATATCTCATGGGGTCGGCGGCGGGGATTAACAATCTCGGGAGTGTGCTGCTCATAGCTTGGGGAGCGGCTATGGGACGAATCGCGGTGCAAGCTGCTGGTAAACTGCGAAAACATTGACTCATTGGAAGGCTGCGCTGCGAGAAAGCGCCGCTCTCCACTTCCGTAATAGACCCTGTCCAAGTTAGACTTTGCGAAGTGTGAAGCGACTGATAGCCTTGCTCACCGTGCCCATGCCGGAATGGCCGCGTAGCTTATGCTGTTGTTTCGGGAACTGCTTGAGGAGCGGAGGTTCCTGTCTCCCGAGTGGTTAGAGACCATGCTGAGGCCGCGGGCGCGCGAGGGAAGGCGGTGATTGCTCTCCAGATCTGCAAGGCCATCGCCGTCCTCGTCGTGGTCGCGGACTAGACGAGCAGTGGAATAAGGCGTCTCTCTGCCGTGGACTGGCTGAGGTCGATCAACGGAGCCGCTCCGAGACCGAGACGCCATGGCCAGGGCCTCCTCGAGTCCAAAGGTGGAGAAGCTTCCCGTCTGTCGAAGCTGGTTGAGCGTAAAGACACTGCTGCGAGCGTTTCCAGACAGTCGAGAGATGGACCGCGTCGAAGGATCGCTACGTTCGCTCTCCGAAAGGACCGTGGACAGGGCAGGGCCCCATGGCTGTGTTCTAGAAGGACTTCTGCGGTGAATGCCTTGTCCAGACCCTGACTGGTTCCGTGTGTGCCGCCCTTCCAAATCTACCTGCGTGGACATGCCCATTGGCGCGTTGGGGTCGGCATCTTGATTCATCCTAGCGCTAGACATGGACGTCAAAGACCCGGTCCTCAGGTGCTCAAGCGATCGGGCGCTCACAATCGTCGAGTTGGAGTAGAGACGACCTGACCGCATGGGCCGTAATGGAGCAACGAGCATGCTATCTCTCGAGTACTCGGACTGCGCATGAGAAATGTCTGTTCCATCAGACTGGGTCCGTCGGTGTCCATGGACGATGTAGTTGGGGGCTTCCCTCTGTTCGGAGTCTGAATGCGAATGCGCCCGCGATTGATCATCAGAAGCTGATGCACCATCATAGACGACGTAGTTGGAGCCGGTGGGGAATAGTGAAGAAGTATCAAAATCCGACGCCATGGAGCCGCGGACAGTGTCCGGGCCGGAAGAGCTTTGCGCATACGTCTTGTAATTCGTGCGGTCCGACACCGTGTGGCCCGTCTTTTCAGACGAGAATGATTGCTTGGTGTTGAGGGTAAAAGCAGTGATGGGCTCTTCCTGGATCGCGATTTTGCTCGAGAGGTCGGGCTCTTCTTCCAGGAACGAAGGCAGGCGGGTAGGAGTGGTATCTGTGACATGGCTCAGTTGGCTGTCAACCTTGCGCAGTCCGCCAACCAGGCGATAGTCCCATGGTGAGGCTGAGTCGGAATCTTCTTCGGGGATTGAGGGAGTAAAGGATGCAGTCACAGACGTGCTGTCCTCGGCCAGGGTCGTCAAAGGGGAGCTGGGGCGGTCCTCACTAAAGATGCTTGAAGACTGTTGCCGATAGGAGGCGCTGGAAGCGACAGAGAAATGGGGGTTCGAGTCGGTGCGAGTAGAAACGAAGGAGTCGGTGCGAGAGGCTCGGGAGGATAGGGGAACGAGCGAGAAGGTCTTGTTGTCAGAATTAAGGTTGATATCGATGAATCTCTTGGGACGACGCTGAGCAGGGGCTGCAGCTTGAATTTCTGGCGACGGCGGCGATGTCAGGGTTCTGAGTGACTGTGATAGAGACTGAGATCGAGTCCTCGACCGTGTGGGCTCGAGCGTCTCGACGGAAGATGAGGCGCTTTCGAGGACCTTGCTGGCGCCAATGCTTGAGCTGCGTCGCTTGCCCGTCGAGGAGCGCGACGGACCAACGACGGTAGAGATGGAGGGCGGGGGACTCGAGGTCCTTGGCGATTCGTCGGCGGCGTGGATTTCGACATTGTCCGGTCTTGAGGAGGAAGAAGGTTCAGGGTTGAAGAGCTCGGAGCCGCCGCTGAGTCTGGGCGGCGAGTAAGGCACCAGTCGGATCTGAAGCTTCTCACCCTGAGAGGACCGCTCGGAGTCGGGCGATTCGGACATCCTCTGCTCACTCAAAACGAGGGCTGGCTCATAACATTTGCCCAGCTAAACGCGGAAATGGCGAGATGTCGGCGCAGCTGTGAACGGATTTCGGCCTTGCAGGGCGTGAGCGTGTATAAGCCCAGTCTATCGTCTGGTGCGGAGGTGGCGACGCAGTCTGCTTGTATTGTGCTCAGGTTTTTATCTCCGAGAGTTTCGATTCGTCGTGGAGGGATGCTGCGAGCAGGTCGGGCTGCTGGCCATGCCAATTCGGATTGGACAGGCGATGCTCGCACAGAACAAGCAAAACGGCTGCCGCAGAGCACGAAACGGTGTCCGATGGCAAATATGCAGAGGAAAAACAAGAGCAGCTGAAACTGATTGGTCGCGTCTAACAAGTCGGCGGCTATTACGTTCGCAAAAGCAGATGAAAAATGAGAATCCAGGGGAAGAATCGAAGTGTAACCAAAAATCGAGCAGCGCGCTGAGAGGGCTGCAGGCGAGCTGTCAAAGAGTTTTACGGAGAGATCCGAAGTAGCGACTGAAAGGATTAAATATTAAAAAAGGGACGTGAAGCCGAGAGCAATAACTTCGTAGGTCGACGAGGACGACTCAAGACGGTCTGCAGCAGGAAAATTGGCGAAGACGAAGCGCGAAACGATGCCAGCCAAGGCGTGCGTACTGTAGTCCTAGGACGGACAGGGCAGAAAAGAGCGTAGACGGTCAGCGGGTAGAGAGCGACAGACGGACGGAGGAAAACGAGTGTGGAGGATGCGAAGAGAGAGCCGAGCAAGGCGGTTGACGGGGCACGAGATGCGGCCCGGGGGGGAGGCCCATGAAAAGGGGATATTTTTGCTTGGTGGTCGCAGCAGCAGCAACGGTAGCAACGGGCAATAGTCTGGCGGGCTCGGCGTGGCCTCAGCGCCTGGGGCTGGCTGGTTCGCGGCTCCGTAACAAATGGGCGGGCTGGTTGCTGACCCGCAGAGTTTGCGCTGCTGCTGCTGGTGGTGATGCGGTTGCTTTATGCAAGGCGACCGCCGTGGGTGAGACGTGGAGCTGGTGAGTCTCGGTTGGGAGATGAAGGTGATGATGGTGATGATGTTGTTGTTGTTGTTTATTTTTTATTTACTATTTCTTTGTTGTTGTTGACTTTTTGGCAGCTCTCGTGATCGCAGTTTCCATAGAATTGAGTTTTGGTCGAGAAACTCTGTTCCTCGGGCAAGAGCTTCCTCTGCTCTCAAGGCTCCTTCCGAGTGCTTTCTGCCAGCGCTCGTACCTGCGCCGAACGCGAATATACAAGGGCTCCCCAGCACAAACATGGGGCCTTGTCGGGTACCTACCTATGTACATACAATCTCCGGCCAGGTTCAGTTCTAGAGGTTGCCATGGAAGACAGACAGACGGAAGACGAGAGCTTCAACCTTGACCGCCTGCTTAGGTACTCAGGTGATAAACCAAGGCAAGGTAGTATCTGCAGGTACTCGTGCTTGTGTCTCATCTACAGCGCCATCCCTCTTCATTGTCTTGTCTCTCTCTTCCCTTGTCTTCACCTGTCTCGTCCCTTGCAGACTTTGATGCAATGTCAAGCTCCGAGAGAAGAGGATCCTGCGCTGACTGTGTCTGGCGGCGGATCCGCTGGCTAGAGACAGAAAAGACAACGCAATCAGAGGCTCCTACTGGCCGGGCCTATCGCGCAGATGCAGGGGTGCCCTTCGTTTCGCAGACGACAGAAGCAGGCACAAGCAGGACAGAAGCGCCGCTAGCTGGGCCACCTGCAGGGGAAGACGCAGGTCCGAGCTCCCCAGAGATTCCGGAAGAAGCCAGAGGCGCAACTGGGCGAGCAACAGCGGCGAAGCAAACGGCGAGAGGCCAGGAATTGTCGGCAGCCGAGGGCGCCTGGACTCGTGCGAAAAGGGCGCGCGCTCTCTCTCTCTCTCTCTGGGCGAGGCTTGAAGCCATCGCGATCGCTGCTGGAGTCAGGCACCACAAGGGCAGAGTTAACCAGATCGGTGGCTAGCATGAACTCTGCGGGCTGCTAGCGGTGAACTACTGAGATGAAGGGATCCCGAGCTGGGGAGCTGTGGCCGAAGAAGCGGAACGGTGCCTGGGAAGGCCCGGCTTGTTGGAGAAGGGCTCCGTTTCGCCATTGCTCAGCCGTGGAATGTTGACCAAACTGCCAGCCAGGCCTCGATTATTACGGCGTACTACTGCTTGTACACACATACAGCACGAGTCCATGCAATCCCAGCATCGGACCAACTGGTCGGGATGGGTACGAGTACTAGTACCACGAAGCCAGACCAGGCTCTCTCTCCTCTGCTCTGAGGTATTTAATTCGACTGGCCAGGCTCGACGTTGTATGCGCAGGTTGAGCAACACGCGAGCGTGGCGCAGGCATCCTCTGCCCTGCACGCTGTGAAATTACAGGCACAGGCAGATGCATGCACATGCAGCTGCATATGCAGACAAACAGCTTCAGGATGCTCTGCGCTGCGTCTGTTCTGCTGCGGCCATTTGACGCCTCGTGTATCCCCCCGCCCGACAGGCATGTACTCTGTCAAACAGGCGCCTGATGGTGTTGCGTTCATGAGTATGTATGTACTCCGTGATTCTTGAAACTCCCATCGACTGCAGAGGCGGATGCTGACCATGATGCTGATAGGCAAACAGGCAGTCCACTGGAATGGACTTGTGTCCATGCGCGAACACTTGGGCGCTCGAGATTGGATGCTGGTAGACGCTAGGAAGCAACAGCCAGGCTCAACGTTGAGAGCGACATGCGAGAATGAAACGCTGCTGGGGGGGTTGCAATCCTTGGCGTCTGGCGGTTGACTTTGTGTCAATTGAAGCGGTTGGCGATCTGATCAACTGCGTAGGTATCTTCCGTTGACGCCATATACCTACCTTATCCACCAACGTGCCTCCAGGTAAATAGGGTATGAAGTCTTGTGAGGTTTCAATGAGGCCGTATCGGGATCCCTGCCAGCTCCATGTTAGTTCAACAGCAATCATCACTCCGATCTACCCCAGAGTGGTAGATGGACCTCAGTCGGATGACCCAAACAAACACCACAAACGACAGGGAATAACAATGAACATGACAATAACAACAACTGACTCAGTCATCAACTTATAGGTTATCAATCTTGAGGGTTGTTTCTTTTCTTCAAACCTGGCATAGAGTTTTGGAAGAGCAGCGAGCCGCCACCCAATGGAACTACTAACCGCTGTTCTTAGTGTTGCGCACCAAATGCAGGAACCCATTGTTCCATGAGCCTAGCCGAGACAAAATGCCATTCTCTTCAGCCTCAGCTGCTGGGCATCCCACAATGGAAACGAGGCCTTTGTCCTCTCAAGACATCGTCAATTGATAAACCACCGCTCCTCCCATTGTGTTGCATACCTCATACCGTTACCCATCAGTCGTCCCAGACATGTCCTGCGTCACTGCATTCCCCGCATAGGGCTGCGATTCCTCCATAGCTGCGGCGTCCCCTCTTTTTTTTGCTCTGTTTTTTGTCTTCGTGTCTCTTCAAGCTGTTGTTTTCTTTTTTGAGGCTCGCTTTTCCAAAAACGCGGCATCACATGCGGTCGTTGAGCCTCCTCCTCTCTCTCTCCGTGCCTGACAGTGTCTCACCTTGTATATTCTGTCATATTGCGTGTCTGATATCATTTGTGAGAACTTCAGTTTGGGACATCATCTCTTCTGGTCTCATCAAATATGGCTCCTCCTCCATCATCAGGTGCACTCACCCAGCCCCAAGCCTTTGGTCTCTTGGTAAGCAGTAACGCCCTGGACAAAAAACTCTCTTCGACTCGTGCGGGCGTCACTAATCTATCATGCTTTCCTGCCGTTGTCGGGGCGGGAAGCTTGATGAGGACAACAGGCGGCGTATACCCTCGTCTACGTGCTCCCTCTGTACGCCTCGCCGCAAACGCGAGCCTCTCCCGGCCGCTCAAGAGACGCCCCCGAGGCCATTCGCGCCAGAATCACCGCCGTCTCGCTGTCCACGACTGCGTGCTCCCTCGCGACGCTGCTCCTCTTGCCCCATGTCTGCGATGCCACGGCGGCGGCCACCAGCTGCAGCCCGTTGCGGCTCATGGGCTACTGGCCGGTTGGGCTGGCTGAGACGCTCAAGAGCTGCCTCCTGACGGGCTTGCTCTTTGCCGCGCCGCTGTACGAGGCTCTTGTGATTGACGGCGGCTGGAGAGAATGGATCTCTGGATTCCAGCCGCTGCGGGACATTTGGGCTGAATGGCCTGCTTGGCGAAACCTGGTTGCTGTGAGTTGTGTGCCCTTTGAGCATTACTGATGAATCGAAACGGCTCTGGGTCAATCAATTGGCCCTCTCTCTCCAATTCTATGCATCTTCCGCGTCTTCTTTCCTGAGGGCTCATGCGTTCGTCTCACTGCAGGGCCCCGTCACCGAGGAGTGTCTCTTCCGCTCCGCCGCCATCCCGCTGCTGCTGGTCGCAGGCTCCAGCCTGAGTAGAATCATCTTGCTGTCCCCCGTCGTCTTTGGCCTTGCGCACCTGCACCACTTCTACGAGTTCCGCGTCACGCACCCGCAGACGCCCCTGGTGGCCGCCATCGCCCGCTCCGTGCTCCAGTTCTCGTACACGTCCGTCTTTGGGGCCTACGCAAACTTCCTCTTCCTGCGGACGGGCTCGTTGCTTGCCGTCGTTGTCGTCCATGCCTTTTGCAACTCCATGGGCTTGCCTCGCGTCTGGGGCGCCGTGCAGCCGTATTGGCTCTCCGAGGATGACGCTGCTCGGCCCGCCCGCGTGATTCTGTGGTCGGGCATCTACTACGCGTTGCTTGTTGGAGGCTCGGTTGCTTGGTGGAAGAATCTCTATTTTCTGACAGAGTCACCACTTGCTCTGGCTGTGTTCTAGCAGACAGTTTCTAGCATTCGCTGTTCCTCCCATAACATGGCGCGTCCGGCTATCAAGAAAGGCGAAAGACTAAAGTGTGAAAGGAGTAGAAACAGTTTCTCTACTTCCGTGTGGTGTACATTATCCATACCCGTTTCAAAGACAAACTCCTATTCGAGGCTACGTCCCTGGCAGTGTCATCGTGAAATTTGTATGTTGCCATTCTATGTCTCGCTAAGCCTTGCACACCAGGCTCGTACTGCTTTGGAGTGGCAGTCTCCGCCTCAGCAAAGAAAGAATATAACTCATACTCTAGATCCTCGTATCCCTGCTAAGGCTGCGGAGAGACCCTTCCTTGGTGTACTCATCGTCGCCCAAAGGTCGACGGTGTCGTAGAGTAGCCTGTTCCCGGCCATCAGCCCCCACTGAGGAATCTCTCTCTTTGCCCTTGGAGAGGCCAGAAGAAGCTGCACCCCCATCTGCCATGGCATCGTCGGGCCCTCTGGTGTTCTTTTTCCTGGGCCACAGGCTCGGCAGCGCAATCTGCTGGAATCGTGGCTCCACTGCCCGCTCATCAAACCATCTGTGCAGCCGAGACTCGATCAGCTGTGCGATTTTGGGCACGTCTTGGAGCCGCGAGCGGCTCCCGAGCAGGCTCCTGATGGAAAAGTCTAGCCGGTAGTCGTCGAGGAAGTTGAATGCCATCATGGTCGGAGTGGACTGGGAAGGGTTGCTCGGGATGAACGATATAGACAGCGTGCCGCTGAACCTCACCACCGAGACGGACAAGGCTACCGGGAGGACCGCAGACAGCTTTTTGGGATAGTTGAGGAGGAGCTTCGTCTCTACTGCGAGGGTGAGCATGTCGCTGAGGTCGACGTCCATGCGGGCCTGGAGGCGAGTGCCGTCGCGGGCGGCGGTGGCGGGATCAAACTTTGCATGGCTGCCCAGGCTGATGCCGTCCTCGTCGACGGGGATGATGCGGCAGTTGCTGAGGATGGGGAACTCCTCGCCCAGGCTGAGCTCGGTGACGCGGATCTCGTCGACAAAGTCGGGCCGCGAGTCGCCGTTGAGCGTCTTGGTGAGGGAGTTGAGGATGGCGTCGTCGTGCTGGGCGTCGCTGCGGAACTGGGCAATGGTCTGGGCGATGAGCACGTTGAACCAGTCGAGGCTCTCGGGCTGGTGGCTGTCGACGTTGTAGTACGTCTTGCTGAGGATGGAGCCGATGGTGAGCGTCGGCGGGCTGCGCAGGACCGTCGACTTCTTGCGGTTGAGCGGCTGGCCGACGCGCTGGCTGGGCGAGCGGAGGCGCAGCAGAGACTGCTTGTGGGCGAGAGTCCGCGATCTTCGCTCCGTGGCTCGGAGCGAGGCGGCCACGTCGGGCGAGGGGGCCTCGCCGAAGATGAAGAATTTGATGAAGGCGGCTAGGATGAGGACAACAGAGAGCTGGCCTACTATGAGGCCTTGAGTGAAGGAGAGCCTGTTGTGTCCATATGACCCGAGGGAAAGGGGGGGGAAAGGGTTAGTACTAGTTTTGATAGTGAAGCTTTTCATGAAGCAGAGGAACAGGCTTACGTTGGTTCATGCCGAGCTGGGCAAGAATCCGCCATTCTCGCTATAACTGACGGTTCTCACTCATCCAGTCAAAGCCAGGGCATTATTTGAGTAAAATAAAGTAGAAATTGGATGCTCAGTAGTGGGCAGTTGCAAGATTAAAGGCGAATTTGATCAAGTTGAGTCTGATCGAAGCATCATGATATCAACGGTTCAGGTGGATGTACGTACCTTCATGAATGGGACAGCTTTTACGCATTCGAGCAGAAGTAGCCAATCAGGTGCCGCGAAATACCCACAGTCTTCGGTACCTTTCCATCAGCGATGGAGCAGAAAGAAGCAGCTGCAACACGCTTTACTTGGAGTATTTTGAGAAGGTGACAAGGAGCAAACAGAATTGAAAGGCTTTATGTATTCAAAAAAATTGAATCTAATCTGCTCTCGAATTCCTCTGTTCGCATTAACTAACTAGACTCTCAAGGCATGGAAAGACATGCCCTTAATGCCCTCATAGAAGGTACCTGGCACGCCAGCTTCTTGCGCTAGTCCCGACGCGGCACTAGTCCGTCGAGCTTCACCCCTACGGCAGGCAGTTGTTCCGCCCTCCGCCTTACCTCATTGGGCACTCACCTCTCAGGTGCACAGTGAGGTCACTCCCGCCCTCCGTAACACGTCTCCAGCTTATTGATTAGTAGTGAACGCAACGCTCTCACCAAAAGGAGTGTGATATCGGATCCTCATATGATACACACCGACGCCGAGCTCGGATCGCTTCTTGTCTTCCGGGCCACTGCGAATACCATACAACCCTTTCGACGGATGATATCATGTAGCTAGCGGCAAAGCAGCAAACACGTCATCATCATGGATGTCTCACAAGCCGTCGCCGGATACATCTCCAAGATGATGCTGTCCTCGGGCGATGCCTCATCTTCAAAGATGAAGGTCCTCTTGCTAGATAGAGAGACCATCTCCATCGTGTCAACAGCCATCACACAGTCCTCGCTGCTCGAGTACGAGGTCTATCTCATCGACCGCCTGGACAACGCCAGCCGCGAAAAGATGCGCCATCTTCGCTGCATCTGCCTGGTCCGTCCCTCGCCCGAGACCATTCAGCTGCTCATCGACGAGCTCCGAGACCCAAAGTACGGAGAGTACTACCTCTTTTTCACAAATGTAGCCAAGAAGTCGGCCCTGGAGCGGCTCGCCGAGGCGGACGACCATGAAGTCGTCAAGGTCGTCCAGGAGCACTTTGCCGACTACATCGTCATCAACCCAGATCTCTTCAGTCTCAACATGACCCTTCCGCAGCACCGGATATGGGCCGGTGGCCCGGACAAGTGGAACCCCGATTCTCTGCAGCGTTGCTCGGAAGGCCTCCTCGCCGTTCTCCTCTCCCTTAAGAAGAAGCCGCTGATCCGATATCAGAAGAGCAGCCCTCTTGCTGCAAAGCTGGCGTCTGAGGTACGATACCTTATGACAAAGGAAGACCAGCTGTTTGATTTCCGCAAAGTCGACACGCCTCCTATTCTTCTCATCCTGGACCGCAGGGAGGATCCGGTCACACCCCTCCTAACGCAGTGGACCTACCAGGCCATGGTTCACCATCTGCTCGGGATCAAGAATGGCCGGGTTGATCTTAGCGACGTCCCAGACATCAGGCCCGAGCTCAAGGAAATTGTTCTCTCCCAAGACCAGGACCCTTTCTTCAAGAAGAACATGTTTCTAAACTTTGGCGACTTGGGCGGGACAATCAAGGAATACGTCGAGCAGTACCAGTCCAAGACGAAGAACAATGCCAACATCGAGTCAATATCAGATATGAAGCGGTTTATTGAGGAATATCCAGAGTTTCGGAAGCTCTCCGGGAACGTAAGCAAGCACGTCACGCTTGTCTCTGAGCTTAGTCGGAGAGTTGCTGCCGAGAGTCTATTGGAAGTCAGCGAACTGGAGCAGAGCTTGGCTTGCAATGACAACCATGGTTCCGATCTCAAGGTAATTGAATGATATATGCGGCCGACAAGCGACAATGACCGAGGCTAACTCATGCCATTAGGCCGTACAAAGAATAATCCAAGCTCCCAACATCTCGGCGGGAAGCAAAGTTGGTGTTGTGGCTCTATATGCCTTGCGCTACCAGAAACACCCCGGGAGTGCTCTCCCCATGCTCATGGACCTTCTTGTTGCGGCTGGCAACGTCTCTCCAAGACAAGCTGATTTAGTCAAGAAGGTCTTGGCCTATCACTCTTCATTACACACTTCGGACTCCCGAACCGGCATCACAGATATATTCGACTCCGCCGGCATCTTCTCCGGCACGGCAAACCGATTTAAGGGCCTGAAAGGCGTGGAAAATGTGTACACGCAGCACAACTCGCTGCTAGAGGGCACCTTGCAGAACCTCATCAAGGGCCGGCTGAAGGAGCAGCAGTACCCGTTCGTGGATGACGGCAGTTCGACCAGAGACAAGCCGCAGGACATTATCGTCTTCATGGTGGGAGGTGTGACGTATGAGGAGGCCAAGATGATTGCTGGAGTCAATGCTACGATGCCCGGCGTGCGCGTGGTTCTTGGTGGCACGACGGTTCATAATGCGACGACGTTTCTGGAGGAGGTTGAGGATGCCGTATCATCTTGGGCATAAACTGGACTGGAGCGGATGATTTGACGAGCGAATAGCCCTATGATTTCGCAGCTACATATATAATATAATATCTGAGACTTCCTGACGAGCCTTCCACTTATTGCGAAATGTGTGAGAACATCGTCTCTCGAAGTATCATTGACGTTGTAGGAGGCGATACGTCATATGCATCTATCCACAAATATGCATCTATCCAAGATCTTTATCGATAAAAATTATTGCGACCATTCCCTCCAGATGGCAAATCTAGCAGGCGAAACTTGTCGACGCAGGATGGTTTTCTTGCCGGGGAGCATGCAATAGTACCAGTGGTAGATGAATGCAAGATGAGTGCCTTATTGCGTCCTCGGTCGTTTCACTGGCGCCCGAGTTGGGGACGACGTCGGTTTGCTACCGTGAGCGACAGGCATAGGTGCGTCGCCAGTTTCTTTCTACTACCGATGATGTGATCCTTGGAGATCTCGGCGAGGAAGAGAGAGAGAGAGAGAGAGACAGAACAGCCAGCTAATTGTTGCCAACGAAAATAGAGCATTTGATGTCGTCGTCATAGGCGGTGGCCATGCCGGCGCCGAGGCATGCGCTGCTGCTGCGAGAGCCGGTGCGCGGACGGCGCTGGTGACGCCCAAGATGGACAACCTGGGCACATGTTCCTGCAATCCGAGCTTCGGGGGCATTGGCAAGGGCACCATTATCCGAGAGATTGATGCGCTGGATGGCTTGGCGGGGAGGATCATTGACAAGGCTGGCGTGCAGTTTCATCTGCTGAACCGGCGCAAGGGCCCGGCTGTCTGGGTATGTCTGGTTATCATTACGATCTGCTGTGTCCCGGCGGTTCACGGAGCTAATGTCCCCGTCTTGTGTAACAGGGTCCGCGAGCGCAGATTGATCGAGATCTGTACAAAAAGTACATGAGAAGCGAGCTCGAATCGTATCCGAACCTGTCCATTGTCCTCGAAAGCGTGTCGGATATCATCCTGTCCGAGAACGAAGGCTCAAGCAAAGGCGCCAAGGGCTCAATCGCCGGCGTCAGATTGGAAAATGGCGAGATCTTGCAGACCGGAAGAGTTGTCATCACAACCGGAACATTCTTGGGAGGCGAAATACACATTGGGCTTGAGGCCTATCCGGCCGGCCGCATTGGAGAGGCGGCGACGACGGGCCTGAGCAAGTCACTACGCGAAGCTGGCTTCCAGCTGGGTCGGTTGAAGACGGGAACACCTCCGCGGCTCGACAAGTCGACCATCAATTTCGACATTCTCCAGAGGCAGCTGGGCGACAACCCCCCCATCCCTTTCAGCTACCTCAACTCCCAGGTCGCTGTGCAGGACCAGCTTACTTGCAGCATCACATACACCAACGAGGCCTCGCACAAGATTGTTCGAGACAATCTGGAAAAATCGATTCACATTCGCGAAACAGTCAAGGGCCCGAGGTACTGCCCCTCTCTCGAGTCAAAGGTCATTCGGTTTGCGGATAAGGAGCGCCACATCGTCTGGCTCGAGCCGGAGGGCTTTGACAACCCAATCATCTACCCCAACGGCCTCTCCATGACGATACCCGCAGAGGCACAAGAGCAGGTCTTGCGCTCGATACAGGGTCTCGAGCAGGTCAAGATGCTGCAGCCTGGCTACGGCGTTGAATACGACTACGTCGATCCCCGCGGGCTCAAGTCTACTCTCGAAACGAAAGCCATCGGTGGCCTCTACCTGGCGGGCCAGATCAACGGCACCACGGGATACGAGGAGGCTGCCGGCCAGGGCGTCATAGCCGGCATGAACGCCGGCCGGGCTGCTCTCGGTCTGCCGGGGGCGTCGCTATCTCGATCAGACGGTTACATTGGCATCATGATTGACGACCTCATCACCAAGGGCGTCACGGAGCCTTATCGCATGTTCACGTCCAGAAGCGAGTTCCGCATGGCGGCCAGAGCGGACAATGCTGACCTCCGCTTGACCGAAAAGGGACGGGAATGGGGCGTCGTCTCGGACCACAGATGGAGCGTCTTTTCGGATGAGAAGCAGCAGATTGAGGATCTCACAAGGTCCCTTGCCGGCGTTTCCTTGGCGGCTGATGAGTGGAGCAGGGCAGGATTCCAGGTCAAGAAGAGCTCGCAGCGGCGCACCGGCATCGACATGCTGCGGCTTTCCAACACGGCCGAGCGGGTTCAGCTGGACCAGCTGAGCTCCCTCGTGCCCGAGGTCATGAAGTACCCGCCGCGGATCCGGGACAGAGTCGTCATCGAGGCGGCATACGCGCCGTACATTAAGATGCAGGCGGCCGAGCGCGGGCGGTTCGTCAACGACGAGAACATTCGCCTCCCGCTGGACCTGGACTACGACAGCATCCCCGGCCTGGCCCTGTCGGAGAAGGAAGTGCTGAGGAGGACGCGGCCCGAGACCCTGGCGCAGGCTCGCCGCGCAGAGGGCATCACTCCTTCGGGGTGCATCCGGCTGCTTGCTTACATTCGTCGCCAGGGGTCGTCGTCCACGACGGCGCCTCTGGGCTTGGAGGGAACGGAATCATTGGGCGTTGGCTTTTCATGAGGCATACTAGACTCGTATAGAGAATTGCGTCGGTAGAACTTGGACTGTATTTTTATTATTGGTGTAATTGGAGTTTCGGAGTACTAGTTGAGTAGGTAGGTAGATGGGAAGCCTGCAACTTGTATAGTACATATATATCCATCCCACATGAAGGAATCTATAACAGCAGCACTGTTCTCCTACTATAACCGAACGACTCCTTCATTCGGCAATGGATTCAAGGCTTACTACTTGTCTTAAAACAAGAAAATTTCTACACGCCTGTCAGATTATCGTACGCAGCAGAAAGAAACACGTGGAATCAGGAAAATGTAACCCTCCGTCTCGGAGTTGATGGGCAGTTGCATGCATGCATGTCCGAAAACGTGCCTATTCATAGAAATCCAGACTTAGCCCGATATCGGTATTAGTGACTCGATGAGCTGCATTTTGGAGTTTCAAGCCTTCACCCCACCAAAGAATTTCGAGACTTTCAGCCTACTAGCTCCCGCCCCAGGAAGAAGCTTCATTTTTTTTTTTCTCTCCCTCCCCTTCCTGGTTCTCTTTTCCTCTTCTTCCCTCTACTTGACTGTGTTGGCTTAAATCATCTTCTACACAAACCAGCCTCAACTGATTGGCACTGGTCCAGAGGCGGCGTCAATCGCCCTTTCAACGACCACCAGAAACCACCCCCCAAAAATGGCGGACGCAGCGAAAGCCCCTCCTCCTCCTCCCCAGACCATCTCGATCCTGGGCGAGCCAAACATCGTCGTCGACCATGCGCTGTGGCCCAACTACATCGTCCAGGACCTGACGCAGAACCTGGCGTCGTCGACGTACGTCCTCATCACCGACACGAACCTGTTCGACACGTACGTGCCCGCGTTCCAGCAGCGATTCGAGGCGCACAAGCCGAGCCCGGCGGCGCGGCTGCTCACCTACGCCATCCCGCCCGGCGAGGCGTCCAAGAGCCGGGAGACAAAGGCCGAGATCGAGGACTGGCTGCTGTCGCACCAATGCACGCGGGACACGGTCATCATCGCCGTGGGCGGCGGCGTCATCGGCGACATGATTGGCTATGTCGCGGCCACCTTCATGCGCGGCGTGCGCTTCGTCCAGGTGCCGACGACGCTGCTGGCCATGGTCGACTCGTCCATTGGCGGCAAGACGGCGATTGACACCCCCATGGGCAAGAATCTCGTCGGCGCCTTCTGGCAGCCGCGCCGCATCTTCATCGATCTCGCCTTTCTCGAGACGCTGCCGGTGCGCGAGTTCATCAACGGCATGGCCGAGGTCGTCAAGACGGCCGCCATCTGGGACGAGAAGGAGTTCACCGTCCTGGAGGAGTCGGCGGCCGCTATCCTGTCCAGCGTGCGCTCCAAGGGCCAGAACCGGCTGCAGCCCATCAAGGACGTGCTCCGGCGCATCGTCACCGGCTCCGCGAGAGTCAAGGCCGAGGTTGTCTCGTCCGACGAGCGAGAGGGCGGCCTTCGGAACCTGCTCAACTTTGGCCACTCCATTGGCCACGCCATCGAGGCGCTCCTGACGCCGCAGCTCCTCCACGGCGAGGCTGTGGCGATTGGCATGGTCAAGGAAGCCGAGCTGGCCCGCTTCCTGGGCGTCCTGCGGCCCGAGGCTGTCGCGCGGCTGGAGAAGTGCATTGCGTCCTATGGACTGCCCACCTCGCTCAAGGACAAGCGGGTCGTCAGCCTGACCGCGGGCAAGAAGTGCCCCGTGGATGTTCTGCTCCAGAAGATGGCCGTGGACAAGAAGAACGACGGAAGCCAAAAGAAGATTGTGCTGCTGTCGGCGATTGGCAAGACTTACGAGGCAAAGGCGAGCTCCGTCGACGACAAGTCCATTCGCATCGTCCTGTCCGACTCCATCGAGGTGTCGCCTGGCATCCCCGCCGACCTCCGCCTCACCATCACGCCCCCCGGCTCCAAGAGCATTTCGAACCGAGCCCTGATCCTCGCCGCTCTCGGCTCCGGTTCCTGCAGAATCAAGAACCTGCTGCATTCGGACGATACCGAGTACATGCTCTCGGCCGTCTCGACGCTGGGAGGCACATCCTACTCGTGGGAGGACGGAGGCCAGGTCTTGGTCGTTCAGGGTAACTCTGGCCAGCTCAAGGCCTCGGACGAGCCCTTGTACATTGGCAACGCGGGAACCGCTTCTCGCTTCCTGACGACCGTTGCGGCTCTGTGCGCGCCCACGGACACGGCGACCACCACGGTTCTCACCGGCAACGCGAGGATGAAGCTCCGGCCCATCGGCCCCCTTGTCGATGCCCTGCGGACCAACGGGGTTGCCATTGACTACCTGGAGCGGGAAAAGAGTCTTCCCCTCCGAATCAATGCTTCCAACGGCCTTGAGGGAGGCGAAATCGAGCTTGCGGCAACTGTTTCCTCCCAGTACGTGTCGTCCATCCTCATGGCGGCCCCCTATGCCAAGAAGGCCGTCACTCTGCGATTGGTGGGAGGCAAGCCCATTTCCCAGCCGTACATTGACATGACCATTTCCATGATGAAGTCGTTTGGCATTCATGTCACTCCCTCAGCCACCGAGCCAGACACCTACCATATCCCCCAGGGCGTCTACCAGAACCCGGCCGAGTACACTGTTGAAAGCGACGCCAGTTCGGCCACGTATCCGCTCGCGGTGGCTGCCATTACCGGAACCACTTGCACCATCCCCAACATTGGATCTAAGTCTCTGCAGGGCGACGCCCAGTTCGCCGTCAAGATCCTCGAGCCCATGGGCTGCGAGGTCCACCAGGATGACTACACCACGACCGTCACGGGGCCCAAGTCCGGAAACCTCAAGGCTCTGCCCAGCGTGGACATGACGACCATGACGGATGCCTTCCTCACGGCCACGGTCCTGGCAGCAGTGGCCGAGGGCACCACGGAGATCACCGGGATTGCCAACCAGCGGGTCAAGGAGTGCAACCGTATCCTGGCGATGAAGGACCAGCTGGCCAAGTTTGGCGTTGTCTGCAACGAGCTCGAGGACGGCATCCAGATCGTCGGCAAGCCCAGGGAAAGCCTGACGGCGCCCAAGGAGAGCATCCACTGCTACGACGACCACCGCGTTGCCATGAGCTTCAGCGTCTTGTCGCTCGCCGCTCCGGGCCCTGTCCTGATTACCGAGCGGGAGTGCGTCGGCAAGACCTGGCCTGGCTGGTGGGACGTCCTCTCTCAGCAGTTCAAGGCGAACCTGGAGGGCGTGGACACTGAAAGCAGCCGTGAGACCAAGCCCAAGGCCCCCGCCAGCATCCAGCGCTCCATCTTCGTCGTTGGCATGCGAGGCGCCGGAAAGACGACTGCCGGCAAGTGGGTTGCAAAGACGCTCGGCTGGAAGTTTATGGATCTGGACCACGAGCTCGAACGACGGGCCGGCAAGACGATTCCCGAGATGATTGCTGGTCCCCGAGGCTGGGAAGGGTTCCGAGAGGACGAAGTGGCCCTCTTGCGCGACGTCATCGCGGCTCACCCCAACGGCTACGTGTTCTCGTGTGGCGGAGGACTCGTCGAGACTCCCGCTGCCCGAGAGCTCCTCAAGTCGTACGGCGCCAATGGCGGCCTTGTGCTGCTCGTCCAGCGGGATACCGACCAGGTGGTCGACTATCTCAGCCAGGACAAGACGAGGCCGGCGTACACCAACGAAATCAGGGAGGTCTACGAGCGCAGGAGACCGTGGTACAGGGAGTGCAGCAACTTCCTCTACTACAGCCCTCACTCGCAGGGCTCTGCTTCGGTGGCTGAAGCGGAAATCCCGGAGGACTTCACCCGTTTCGTTTCGGTCATCTCTGGAAAGTCCAAGACGCTCGAGGCGGTCTCCAAGAAGAAGCACAGCTTTTTCGTCTCGCTGACGCTGCCTGATCTCAAGGACGCCGTCGACATCTTGCCTCGGGTCACCGCCGATTGCGATGCCGTGGAGCTCCGCGTGGATCTCTTAAAGGACCAGCAGCCGCAGGCCGTGATGAAGCAGGTGTCTCTGCTCAGGCATGTTACGGGCAAGCCCATCATCTTCACCGTGCGAAGCGAGTCCCAGGGCGGCAAGTTCCCCGATGGCAACAACGAGCTGCGCCTTGCGCTCTACCGCCTGGCGCTCCGCATGGGCGTTGAGTATCTCGACCTGGAGGTGACGCTGTCTGATGAGGTGCTTCAGCAGGTGCGAGAGTCACGAGGGCACACAGTCATCATCACCTCTCACCACGATCCCGCCGGCGCGCTGTCGTGGAAGAATGCCTCGTGGATCTCTGCCTACAACAGAGCTCTACAGTATGGCGACGTGATTAAGCTGGTGGGCACCGCTCGCAGCATCGAGGACAACTTTGACCTGATACGGTTCAAGTCGAGAATGCTGGCGGCCCAGCCCACGCCAATCATTGCGCTCAACATGGGCTCAGCTGGAAAGCTCAGCCGTGTCCTCAACGGCTTCCTGACGCCCGTCTCGCACCCTGCCCTGCCCTTCAAGGCTGCCCCCGGACAGCTTTCCGCGGCCGAGATCCGCCAGGCCCTGTCCCTGCTGGGCGAGATTGAGCCAAAGAGCTTCTACCTGTTCGGCAAGCCGATCAGCAAGTCGCGATCGCCCGCTCTTCACAACACCCTCTTCGGCCAGGTCGGCCTGCCGCACGAGTACAAGCGTCTGGAGACGGACAAGGTGGAGGATGTCGTCGAGGTGCTGCGCAGTGCCGACTTTGGCGGTGCATCGGTCACGATCCCGCTGAAGCAGGACATTATGGCACACCTCGATGACTTGACGGAGGCGGTCAAGATCATTGGCGCCGTCAACACTGTGATTCCCACGGCCGACGAGTCCTTGGGCGGCCGCCAGAGACTGACCGGCGACAACACGGACTGGAAGGGCATGGTCCACGTGCTCCGCAGCGCCGGCGTCAAGGCGCAGAGCGGCGATGCCAGTGCTGTCGTCGTTGGAGCCGGAGGCACGAGCCGCGCTGCCATCTTTGCGCTGCATTCGCTGGGCTTCAAGCCCATCTACGTCGTCGCCCGGGATGCCAGCAAGGCGCAGGGCCTCGCGTCGAGCTTCCCGGCCGAGTACGGCGTGCAGGTTGTTGCGAGCGCTGCCGAGGCCGAGGCCATCGCCAGCAAGCCCATTGTCAGCATCAGCACCGTCCCTGCCGACAAGCCGATTGACGCGGCCGTCGAGGAGATTCTCGGCGCCGTGTTCAAGGCGGCGGCGGCTTCTGACAACGTCCAGGGCCATAGCCGGGTTCTTCTCGAGATGGCTTACCATCCTCCGCGCACTCCTGTGATTCAGATTGCGGAAAAGGCGGGTGACTGGAAGACGATTACCGGACTCGAAGTTCTTGCTGCTCAGGGCTGGTATCAGGTATGCATCCCGCTCCCCTCTGCTCATGCCCCCTAAATGTGAAACCATTACTGACTGTATGATTTTCAGTTTGAGACTTGGACTGGTATCAAGCCGCTGTTCAGCGATGCGCTTGAGGCGGTCATTGGTAAGGAGTAGGGAGCTCAGTAGATGTTGCATCCTTGATATATAGTGCAAATAGGACTCGTTGTCTATAGGATTCATTGTGGCCGTACCGTACCGCCTCGCTCAAAGTATCGAATCATCGCTTGACGTAGTCTCTAGGAGTGTTTCCTCATTCCCATAGACAAACCACGTTCCTCGAGATGCAAGGGCTACTGGTTCTAGTTCTATAAGCCGGTAATGTGAGTTTCAATCACGAAGGCAGATACGCACCAACCGTGGCTCTCACGCAATTCACTGTGTCCCAGCTGTTCCTATTGAAAACATACCATCTCTCAGCATCAACATTGCCGTCTAGAGAGTCAATTTCTAAAAGATGAGGCAGACAAAAGGCTTTTTAGATGAGACGAGTGACGTGTGGTGAGCGGTGTGAACGAGGGAGGCAGGCACCCTCCAGCAGCTAGCTTCCCGATATCATTATTGTCACCAACTTAATTTTCCTCAGTCTCTCTTTTGTTTCTCCTCCATCACTTTTCCAATCCCATCTTCTCAACTATCAGTGGTGAAGCAACGTTTCAATCCAGAGTATCGATGCCAATTGGTTCGGCTGCAGTGGCTGTGCCATGCTCATAAAGGGCCGGACTGGCCTGTTTTCAGCGAACCTCCCAGAAAGACAGACAGACAGACAGAATCATCATGGCCACGCTTCTCTTTCTCGTCTCGTCAACGACCCTTCCATCAAGAGTCTCTAGACTCAAAGATTCTCAAGATATTCTACTATGCTACATCTCAAAAGTTCTGACCAGACCCTTTCAACTTCACCGGACAATCTCAACGTCTAGCCCCTGGAGTGCGGCGCCAGGCGTTACAAGAGCAACCCACAGAATGGAGAAGCCATCTCGGAAACGCCAGGCCAACCGTGACAGCATGGGCGATGCCGTCTTGAACGAGCGGCCGATTCTGCCGCCTGATGCCGAATGGTAGGTACGCCGAACGGGAAAGTATACTTGTTTAGATGGACATGAACGAATGTGCGGTTCTGGAGGCAGCCTTAGTCTTAAGGCCATCGTTTGTCTGTTGAACTCGACTAAGTAACTAGGGATTGTCACTCTTATAGGTAGCGTCGGTGCCCGTTGAGGTCGGAGCAGAGTCGTACAACGTTTTGCCTGTTTATTGTTGCTAATTCTTACGGATGTAGCCAACTTCTATCCTTCTATGAGACCCCAGTCTTCGCCATCGCTCGGTCTAAAAAGCCAGTCCCATGCCAACAATCACAAGACATGAAGTTTGCTGATGCAGTCATTATCCAAACTCCAAGCCTCGTCCTCTATTTCACCTCGGCATACGCCTCCAGCCCGTCATGCAGCCTCCCAAATACACCGTCATGCCAGCTCCTGACCACCTCCCAATCGCTCTCAGGCAAACACATGGATGACATTCTCAACCACGCGCCGACAATGAAGTCCGCATAGCTCGCCTGCTTGCCCAGCAGAAACGGCCCGCTGTCATCTCTGCGATAAAGCTTGGCCAGATCGCCCAGCGCGGCCTCAAACGACTGCATGAACTTGTCGCGCGCCTCGCTGGTCAGGGTAAAGTCGTCCCAGGACTTGACGCCCGCGCGACGGATGAACTCGGCCTTGGTCTGCGCTTCCGTCTCTGGATCAAAGGCCATGCGGCTCACCATGAGCGGGACGTGAGAGGTGAAGGCGGCGTCGACGTTTGTGTTGAAGCGGTAGTACTCTGGATGCCCGCCGTCTGCGCGCTCCGACAGCGGCACGGCGAGGGCGTAGCCCGGGTCAAAGGCATAGTCAAGCGTCTGCTCGGGGAACAGGTCGCCGCCGCCAGAGTCGGGATACGTGCGCTGCAGGTAGACGGCAATGTCAAAGGAGTCACCAAGAACGGCGCCCGTGGAGTCGTCCTTGATGACGGGCAGGGTGTAAAAGTCGGTGCCGTCGGCAAACTTGCGGCAAGCGGGCAGGCCGAGCTCGCGGCGGGCGTGGGGGATGTCGGGCATGCGCACCCAGGAGGTGGTGTATGGGAGGCCCTTGAAGTTGAGGGCGAAGCGGCTCTTCCAGGGGTTGGGCGAGAAGCAGTGTTTGGTGACGGGTGGTTTGTGGGCGATGTCGTAGAGGGTGATGGGGGGTGAGGGTGTTGATGATTCCATTGTGGTTGGGTGGCTTGGTGGTGAGGTTATCGTGATGGAGTCCAGATTGGAGGTTTTCGAGGCGGGTTGAAGGCTCTTTGGTTGCTTGGTTGGAGCAAAGGAAGATGGTTGATCAGAGCGATGAAGATTGTTTATATCGGTTCTGCAACGTCCATGTCACTTCAGATCAGGGACACAGGGGCTAAAGGTTTAGGAACGGATGCTATTGGATGACCTGGCATGTGGAAGATGTCATTGCAAGGCCCCCGGATGGATGCCTTCCCCACAGCTGCTATACACACACAGGATGATGTGTCGATCTCGGAAGAGTATTATCCAATCCCATTCATGCCTTTTGCCATTACCTTTTACGGTAAGTCATTTCCCAGCTGACGGCACAGCCTTGTCTTGACTGACACAACATTCTATTCCATCTTCATCTGGTGCTACCATGACATGACACTAGATGACATGACATGGGATTGCCCGCGGTTGGCGATGAGTCAAGCAAAAGAGTCATTGACGAGTCAAGCCAGTCTTGACGCATCTCTTTTTTTCGGTCAAGGCGGCTCTTCGGCTGGCTTCGGCTGGTCGGGGTGGGGCCGTCTGGATACGCGTACAGGTCACAAAGGGAGAGTTACAAAAGGTAGGTACCTGAATATCTGCTAATGCTCCAGAGTCTTCCACAGGGAATGAACAGGTCCAGTACGTTCCAGATACTAATAAACAAGACAATTTGCAGGCTTCAGCCGGATTCAACATGTTCAAATTTGCTCATGTCTCACCGCAGGGCAGTTTGATGGTGTGAGTCACTTCAGGACGTGTGTACCATGTCACCGTCTTGTAATTCCATACCTAGGTAGGTTCCTGGGCAGGGGCTTGGCATCCTTGATCTTTTTGGGCGTAATATCATCTCTTCTTTGATCTGATGGCTTGAAGCAATGAATATATGTCCTGGTAACAGCTGTGCTAGACGCTGCTTGATTGGTGGCATGAGCCCGAGTTTGCAAAGACTGCAGATCGCAGAACAGGACACAATGAAAGTCGGGTTGACGACGAGAACCAAGATAAGCCTGCCATACTCCATTTTCCTTGAATACCCGTTGCCGATGGTTCCATTTGATCCTTTTGAGGAGCCCCCTTCTTCACATTATTGTCGTAGAATGGAGGTGTCTCTGCGCCTCGCATCGCGCCAGCCTCTTCTAGATATTAAGTATTGTTTCACAAGACTTGCTCCCCGGCGACACCAACAGAGTCCAGGGCAAATTTCAGATTAGAAGTCTGGCCCCTACAGAAGCGGTGGAGGAGAGGAGAAATTGGGGGTTGGCTGTGTGTGCTCTGTTTGGGAATTGGCAGCCGTATAATCCCTTCGCTCTGAGGGCAGATGTTCGATTGTTCTCACTTCTTGACCACCCCTGTAGAGTATTGGGTGCTCCAGGGCCCCATGACAGCCAAACGCAGTAGAGTCGTGCCAAGATGATCGCGAAATTGATCGGTTTCGACCTTGGCCTCTGTACTATGGTTGTTGAGTAGCTGCAGCATGAACAAGGCTAAAGGGCGTCTCTTCTGGCCGCGAGCTGCTCATCGAGATGAATTAGATTGGACATTGTTGAATGCTTCAGCCAAAGCCAGTCGACGTAACGTAAGCTTGGGATTAGCACCCAAGAGCGGCAGCAACCACGGCGTAGTCCTCAAAGCGATGGCTTGCATGAGTGCCATCATGCGGCTCTGGAGAGCCGCCTCGAGACTCGGAAACATGCGAACGGTGGCAACAGTCTCGTCGAACTCCGCTTGCCGCCGAGTGACGTGCATAATAAATCGCGCGAGCAGTGTCGGGAAGAGAAATGCACATGCTGGAGAAGACACAGGTTGACCAAGTGGCGTCCAGCACAGATGAAAGCAGATGGTCAAGGATCTCGCTGCAGCGATATATTTGATTCGTGAGATGGAGTATCGTCTACTCTACTCTCAGGTCCCTAGCTGGAAGATCTCCTTTGCGGTAGACATAGGACAGCGAGGACTCGCATTGAGGGTCAGCAAATCCTTGGCTGTCGTGAGGCTATTCACTGAGTTAAGCTTTCTCGCCGTGTATTATGGATCCTCCGGCATGGAGAGTCATAGAAGTATTGCGCTGCCATCAACAGTCGAAGAGTATGGGTCTTCCTCCCTATATGTTGGAGAGATTTGAGTGGCTCCCAGTCACCACCAAAGCAAGCCTGTGCCACAGGTGGCAGGCAATGAGGTGGAGCAGTCGATCAATGGAGTCTCGAGAGCCTGTGAAGACGTCCCCCTATACCTCAGTACGACATCATCATGCCTGCTAGACCTGTCGTTCAGAACCAGCGCATGGCCGAAACCAGTGAGTTTCGTAAGAGCCTTAACCGGCCGATCGCAGGAGGTTAACACAAGCACATTGTCAAGCTTGACATGGTCGTGGACAATACGGCACTGGTGACGAGCACAGAGAGCCGAGGCCATATCGCTGGCAAGTTTTTCCACGCCCCATTGCGGAGATGGCGAAGTCATAGACTTCAATATTGCCAAAGAGTTCCCTTTGCCACATACTAAACGATGGCATACGGCATGACCTGGTCGTTGTTCATGTTCCAACCGTATCCGAAGACGTGAAGAACTTTTTGGAAAGTGTATCCGCAAAAGTCGAAGTCTTGAGATCTGAAGCTCTAGAACTACCGCCATCAGCCTCCGGTGACATTTCTTATCGCCCATTGAGGAGTTTGTATACAGATGCTTCATGGCAGGGACTCAAATACCCACGACACAGCGCCCTGGACCTCGAGATTGATGTCAGACTCCAGATGGCAGCATCACACGTTCAAGGGATGCCCCGGATCCTCGAAATAGTGGGTTCCCATCTCTTTCAGCACTCAAGGACGTGAGGAGCACGAGGGATCAATTAAGGGGCCTTGACTCTCGAGAAGTCTGGTTTCGCTCGCGTCCAGCCAAACTCCATCAAGAAACATCTCATCCGCCATGCAGAAAAGCGCTTGGGAGCTAAGATGGGCACAAAGTACCAGACCATCGTTCTGACTTGCTTGCGGGGAGACTTTCATTGTTCAAATGACACAAAAGAAGATTTGAGACTGCAGCAGGCCTTTCGAGCACAGGTTGTCGATGTTTTGGAAAGGGTCGCGGCGTGTATGTAATGGGGAGGGCCACGGGCGCTTCTCGTTTCCATCGACAAAGACGGCGAGGATGCAGATGTGCTTCCGGCAGTTCCAGGATCAGAAAAGTAGTTGGTCAGTTTGCTCACAGAGCTTTGGTTTCCCAGGAAGGAATAATATCGCCTCGCTTATTAATACTCGTTGTCAGTGCCCTTTCCTCAGGTTGACGATGCCTCATTCTGCCACCTATCCCGTATCGCTCCAGGTGGGAAAACGGCCACATCGCGCTGGGGCTGGCCTGGGCCCTCGGAGAGAACGCGATCGATTGGAGTCTCTGTAAGAGTCACCCACTTCCAGTCCTCTGGATCTCGACAGCGTCCCAGCTGGTGGTACGCAGTAATGGTGATCGACCAGCCGTCGACCAGCGGCCCGACAATTATCTGCTCTCCCAATCTAGCTGATACTACACGTCCATATGCGGTACTGATGAGGCTCGCTTCGTAGTTGAACGTTGTGATTTCGTTCACCTCAGCACGCTCAATGGTGGTGACATAGTCAGTCAAGCACACGGTGCAGGCTCCCAGCACGTCTCGACAGGCTCGAAAGGGCGGCAGCGAGCCGTGTGCCTTGTCTCCCTCAGGCTCCAAGAACTCGGGCATCCTGTACAGGCGGCTCCGGTGTGAAAAGTACAAGTCCACCGGATCCGTTGCCGTATGCATGCAGACGCCATGCCGCCCCTCATCAATTGCGTCTCGCAATGTGGCCGCGCTCCCTGCAATCGTATGCGTGGTGCAGATGAATAGTTCATCGTCGATGATCTTTGCGAAGTGATGTTCCTGCCATAATGGTCCACCGCCCCAACTAGGCACCAGGGTGGAACATTCAAGGCGTTCCAGCGGGAGTCCCTTGGGAAAGCCGTAGAAGTGACGATTCATCACAAGGCGTCCGTAGATGTAGTATCTGTTGTGGCATCAGTTGATTGTGTCCAGACTTATGAGAACGATAACATGCGTACAAAACAAACTGGTAGGAGTCGGGAGTTGGATGAAACATCTTCCTCTCGTGGTAGAGAAAGCAGCGGCGGCTTGGCCGGAGAGCACCCAAGACTTTGGGATGCCATTGCTGTGAGAATTGATGGAGTCGGCAGCAGAATGAGCAGTAGAAGAAGGCATCCCCGAGATCTTTTTCCAGTAACAGCAGCAAGCGATGCTTTGAAGCCTCACAGATATTCACTGCGTCCCTGTCGAGGATCGAGGAGAGGGTTTTGCATGTTAGTGATAGGGCGACGAGAGATTCGGGGTAGGGCGAGAGCTGAGATGCAATCAGCAGGAGGATCTCCGCTGGCAGCTGTAGAAGCGGCGAGACGGTCCACAGATTCGAGATGTAAGAAAGGCACTGACCCATCATTAGAAGAGGAATTACAGAATTGGGAGCTGGAATAATAGAGTCAATTGATGGGAGTGTAGTCGGAACAAGAGCCATGACGTGAGTCGCTTGCGAAACTCCAAGTTGAGCAGAGTAATGATACATTGATGGGTGGTGCTGACAAAGCGGCCATACACCGAGCTCACCGTTGTATTATCTACAGATGAAGCCCATCAAAAGAACTTGCAACAGAAGAAAAACGGGAAAGTGAGTGAATAAGACAATAGTTGCTCTTGGTCTTAAAATAGAAAGAGAAATAATTGGTTTGCAGGTTGTCTACAAGTATATACGCTGAATAGTAACCGGCGTGGGTTACGCCATCGCGACCACTATCATAAGACAGTTTGCATCGCTCTCCAAGCACATACGACCATAGGTAGTGGAAAATTCGGGGTCCCGTCTGCTCCCCCATAGACAAGCCACTAACCGGCAGATTAGTAGTCAGGTGGGTGACCACTGGCGAACACCGGCTGTTGTATGTTTTTTTTCGTCCTTTTGTTCTCTTTTCCTCTTTTGCTTTTTGCTCGCTTGATCGAGTGGTGCGATGCCGTTGAATGGTGTGGTGAGAATGGAGGTGTATTGTGTGGTGGGGATAGAAGATTCGAGGACTCGAAAGATGCACCTAAACACTGTTCTATAATAGCATGCGGCCTCCTAAAACAGTGAGCAACTAATTCGCTAATTCAGTAAAACTACCTAAGCATATTCTACTTGTTACACATTGAATCTCCCCTTACATATCTACTGAAACTGTCAGGCGAAGGTCCTGTTATGCAAGATGCTTTCCATTCTGACTCACAGCGCCCGCCAATGCAAACAAAACACATCCACATCATCCACAAGACAGCGCAGACACACTCCCATAAGTAACTTCACACAATCGTAAATGACTCTATGAATACTAGGCCAAACCGACATTTCCTCAAACTCCAAATCATACCACAATGCACACAACTCATCCCATCCATCACATGCAAAGCACCTCACTACTACTCTAATTGCGGCCACATGTGATTCATGCATGAGCCGCAGTAGGTACAGGGCTGGATGTGGAGAAGCGCCTCTAGCGCTCAGCCTCACAACGTGTCCAAGTACCCTCGTACCAAGCAGACAGCTCACATCAAGATATCAGGGTCGTACACTCATATGTTCACTGCCAGATAATCAACAATCATGCCATTGGGTTTTCACTATGCGCGGAATAAGTTGTCAAGTATATTTCATGAGGGCTTTCAATTTACAGCCATGATAGGCTGGTATACTAGTGTACATGGTTCTTTTTGTCTATCCAAAGATTTTGCAATCAAGAAAAAAATCCAAATACAAATATTCGTGACAGGCTTCTTCATTCGCAACCCGCTCTTGCTCAGCCCGCTTGTGCGCCCATGCCCTCATGATTGCCAAAGCAAAGTCTAATTCGACGTCCAATGCAACGGCCCGTGCATAGAGAATCCAGTCTGGTGGACCTTTCTTGATAATAATACACTTCCCTCAAAAAGGGGAAACAGAAGAATCGAATCGATGATGCTGAGAAAGCAGGCTGCTCGTTGATCTAGAAAGGAAAAGGAAAAGGAAGCCCTATACCCATGCCGCCGTCCAGTGCGGCCCCGCTTCCATGTGCAACAAATGAAGTAATAGCCAGTAGTACAGTTGATGTCGATGATGATGAAAGCCAGTGATGCACAAGTGTGTAAGCAGCAGGTCGTCGAGACAAAAGGAAACGGACAATTGCAACGGAGTTGCAACTGTGGGTGTTCATCGTGATCGCGTAGCATCATTGAGGGCAGAGAACGGCCATAGCAAGGAGGGGCGTGGGCGTAAACTTGGCGAGCAAGCCCCTCCCTATCTCCAAGCCAGCATGAGGTTGGCGCGACGGAGCCTGCTGCGAGGGGGGACGATCGCGGTGTGGTTTCGTCTCACCTGCGACGGGCGGCATCATCGAACGCACAGCATCGCAGAGGGCTGTCGTCATTGCTGTCATTGAGCAAGCCAGGCGCGTCGAGGTCGACGAGAAATCAGGGCACGGGCGACCGGGGGGGTGATGTCAGCGGTGGAGGTGGCATGAGGTCAAATGACGTCAGCGCCGCCGACTCGCCAACCAAGACCCTGCAGCTGCAGCAGGACCCTGAGCCCCACTCGGCGACCGCTGGGACACGCCAGCTAGGGGACAGAGAACGCCAGAGAAGACACTGGCAGCTTCCCATTGGCCCCCGCACGGGAGCCGGGGCACAGCGCCAGGATCGCCCATCTTCGATTTGCGTGCCCTTCCCAAGCCTAATCGTGCGCCATCACCGTCGTTGACGTTGTGCTTGACGTTTTCTGATGCTGTCTCTCCCCGCCAGCGCCCCCCCCTCCACCACAAACGGAGGACGTCATGTAGTAGGAACCGTCCTGCACAAGTTTGTGTGGTTTATCGCTGGTATTGGGCGTTTCTGCGAGGGAATGTAGATTGCGCAGGAAGGAAAACTTGGTGCCGCCGGTTCATCGCCCACCACTTCAAGCCCCACCGCGGCGTCGGTGCTTGCCGGGGAGCTCGACGTCTGGGTGACAGACACGATAGTGTCTTGTCAGCGCATCAGCGCGACTAAACGTCTTCTCCTCCGTGCACAGGTTGCAGTGCACCTTTTGCTTCTTGGCGTTGTGAATCGTATCCTCGTGCCGTGTCAGGTCGTACGGCCGCGAGAAGATGGTATTGCACGGCTTCCCCGTGCTCGGGTTGATGCGATCGCAGCGGTGGGGTCCGGCCTGGCTGTTGAGGAGGCTCGAGGTCATGCCCATGTGGTCGTGGTGCGGGCGGGCACTTGCAAGCCCGTGCGACTGGCGGTGGCCCTCGCGCTTGTGTTTCTGCAACAGACTGGGCGTCTCAAACCGTAGAGTGCAGCCGTGATATGTGCATGTGTATGTGCCTCCGTCCGCGTTGGCGCCAGCCGGCCGGCTCTGGGGAGCAGGGGTGTTGTAAGAGGCAGATCCGGTTGAGTTGGAGTCTGCCGGGCTCAGCTGCGAGGCGGATGCGCCTTGGCTGGTGGGCGGGTAAGGGATAAACGGGTATCGCTGCGGCACCTGGACCTGGGCGTGCTGCGGCAAGTTGTGCATGTGATCGCCCTGGCCGTAGTTGGGAGCTCCTGCTCCTGTAGCGGAGCCGTTTGCGCCTCCCTCGGACACTATCCTGCCCATGTGGTCCATGCCAAAGTTGATTGGAGTCTGAGAGAAGAGGGGCATGTTGGACTCCTCGCCCGACTCGTTGAACTCGAGCACGGCATCCTTGGGCGAGATGGTCTGGGGCGTTCCGGGCTGTGTCGTCTTGGCCATCTGCTGCTGGAAGAAGTGGGCGTCGTGCTGGCCATTGCGGTCCTGGGCGGCCATTCGCGGCTGAGAGTTGACAGCCATGGCGCCCTGGGAGGCAGCCCAGTCGTGCAGTGGCGAAGGGGCAAGTGGGGACCCGTGGCGGAAGGGAGAGATGTCTCGAGAAATGCTCGAGGCGGGCGAATGGCGCATCGTGTTGAGGTGCTGGCTATTGGCGGCACTGATGCGCTGGTTAAAGACGTCGCTGGGGGCGGTCGTCACCTGGCTCTGCTGAGGCGACGAGGTGATTGTGAAATTTGGGTTGTAGAGCTCGTCGCCGTAGACGTCTGTCATTGTGCGGTCGAGCTTGGGGACGGGACCGTTGCCTTGACCTGCAAGCCAATATGATGAGTCGTGGTGATCATTATGGCGGTGATTGTGGTGGTGGTGGTGGTGGTTGTTGTTATTGTCGTTGGGGTGTCGTAGCCTACCTTGCCTTCGCCTGTCAATCAGGTCCATCTCGCCGGTGATGGGCGTGGCCGGCGAGTCGCCCGCTATTGAGCTTGCCACAGAGGCAGGATGAGATCTTGTCAAGCCATTGGCGAACTCGGGGGCGGGGAGGAGGTTGCGATCCTGTCGCGGCTTCTGGTGGTGATTGCCGGTCGGGAGGGAGACGGGATAGGCCATGTCGGTGACGGAGGCGTTGTCGAGGTGGTGGAAGTTTGAGTAAGGCGGCATCGTCTTGGCCAGGTGATGGTAGTAGGGGCTGGCTGAGGTCATGGCAGACATGTCGTGCGAGTGCATGTCCATGAAGCCGTCACCATTGGCGTCGGTAACGGCGATGTGAGGGTTCGCGATGTGCGAGTTGAAGGGCGACGCCGGCCCCGTGGAGCCGAGGGACGACAAAGAGGACTCGCGCTGGTGAGGGAGACGGCCGAACTTTGAAGGAGTCGAGAAGCGAGCGGCGGTGTCCCAGGAAGAGTCAGGCCGCATCGAGTCTGACGGGAAGGCAGAGGCGATGGCGGCGTTGAGATACTCGAGATTGGCCGATGAGAGCTCCGAGGACGAGAAGGACGATGGCGAGAACTCAAAGTCGTTGTCGGCCTGGCCAAAGGCGAAGTCGTCGAAGAGCAGGTTGTTGGTGTGTTGGTTCTGGTCGTTGCTGCTGTCAATGTCGCTGTTGTTGAAATCACCAAACTGATGATGCTGCTGCTGCTGTTGCTGTTGGTCTTGCTGTTGCTGTTGTTGTTGTTGAAAGTGTTGATATTGTGTAGGATTTTGGTCCACTGATAGCATGGTTGAGAAAGGTTAGAGGTTTGTATGGGGTATTGCAAGTTTCCATCTTTGACCGGCGATGTGGCGAAACGACTTTCTTTTATATCGTCCAAGACGTCGCAGGCCCCAAGCCCGGGTCGGCCGGTTTCGTCAAGAGCGACGCAGACATCCGGGAAAGGAGGGGCGTGGGCGGTGCTGGTGGAGGGGGCGTGCAGAACTGGGGTCCCTAAGGGGGGTGCGATAAGGCCAACGCGATGGACCCACTATTGAAAAACAAATACCTAGTAGAGGAAAAAAGCAAAAAAAAAAAAAAAAAAGAGGCCCATCATTCGGGCTGCGAGCAAGGAGCCGTGCGCACCCCCCCAGGACCCCTCCTGCCCTTTGACTTGTTCTCTGCCTCTCTCTCGCAGGTTCGACCGGACCCTGCAAGAACCTGCCGACAGGGTCAACCGGGGAGCCGCGGCTTGCTACTCCTAGTACTGTACCTAGGTTCCTTACCTTACGGTAGAGGAGAGCAGCAGGGACGGGTGCTGGTACATGTACCTGGGCCGCTTGTACCTGCCGCCGTAGCGTTGAGCACGTTTGGTAATCCGGACGCTGGGGATCTGGCCCCGGGGGCCGGTGGATGACACCTTGGACACACACAGCAGCTACCTGGGCGTGAGGTACTCGTACCCTCGTACTCGTTCAGGTAATGTAAGTACCTACGTACCTACCTACTAGTTGAAGCAGTAGGTAGAAACTGGCATTCCTTGGAACTGCGTTGGCTGAAGCAGTGAATGATGAATGGCTCTGGCTGATCAATTGGCATCAGCGGCGCCTGATAGGGCAATGCGGTCCGCAGGCTTTTGGCAAGCCAGGAACCTGGCCATCTATGATACAATCGAGGTCCAGCGCAGCTGCGCGCGAGTATGACTAACTTCGTCAGTCATTTGTCATGCATACGAGCAGCTGGATGGCAGTGACGGTATGAACGTCGTCAGTTGCGTATAGCGTGCTGTGTGTCGGTTTGTAGCATGGTGACCACTCGACACGCTGCAGAGTGCTAGACTTCGAGCAGATTCTAGTCAGACTAGCTGCGAGGTGTTGGGAGAAGGGAGCAGTCTAGATGCCATCGTATGAAAGCAGCGTGTGTGTGTGTGTGTGTGTGTGTGTGTGTGTCTTTTGTCACCTCGTCATCCCCGCCAACCAGTCATCCATTCAGTGTCATTCTGTGTGGCAGTTAGTCGTACCTGGTCGCAGGCGGGAGGTGGTGGTCATAATAAGGTAAGCAGGCGAAAAGTGATAAACCCAGAGAATCAGATGGACGGCGATAAAGGGGAGTCGGCCAATAAAAAAAAATTCGTCCTGGAATCACTGCTGCAATGGCACCCGCGCTGCATCGAAAGCCATCGAATAGCATCGTATCGTTGCAGGCATCGTGTGCTGGGTTTTTTTCGCCCTCCTGTGGGTTGACTGACTGAAGGCGTCGCGCGGCCTCTGCTCGGCATGTCCACCGGTCCGTCGTCCGGCACAAGCCAAGCCACCTGAGGCGTGCCCCCCCAGATTGCACAGCCGCGGAGAAGAACGTGCTGTGGCTTGTCCCTGTGGCGTCTCTGCCGTACAAGGTTAGGTTTCTCCGTGCCTCTCAGCCTGTCCCGTCTCCTTGGCTTTTGGCTGAGACTGTCATTCATCATCTTATCATTTGCCGAGGATATGCGCCTGGCTGGTGTAAGCCACATGGACATGCGAGCCCGTACATTCTTGGTGGGAAAGCTATGTATCTTGATATTAGTGATGAGCTGGTGCCATACCTACACACTTACACAGCAGGGAAGCCGATGGCGTTCTAGAATTTTCCCACTTCCTGTTTGAGTTTGTAGAGGCCTCTGGTCTCTCACGGAATTTCCCTTTCTTTTCGGTGATAAGGGGCATGGAACGTTTCTCCGGCAATACAAGCAAGGCTTTTCAAGGCACTACCTATCATCAATGGCAGCTATTTACTAAGCTTGGCAAGTCTGGCAACTACCAACGGCAAAAGGAAAAAGAAGAAAAAAGCTGCAACAAAACTAGTACTTAGTTGGATGTGACGTATCAGCCAGCATATCGGGCTCGTATGGGGGAGCATGCTGCAGCAACTTGGTCACTCTGTTCTTGTGCACTCTTTTGATGGCCCGGTCGAATGGAATCCTTATTACAGCAGGACGTTCCATATTCTCATTGGCCTCAGCCACAGGGTCTTGACGCCGGGAGAGATGGATTTTTCTGGTTGCTGCTATTTCCCCTTTCAGCGAATTGCATAAGGTACATAGGTAACACGGGAACATGCTTCAGGTACAAAGTCGAGGCAGTTCTAATAAAAGAAAAGAAACACTTAAACCTTGACTGCGACAATTAGTCACATGATGATTCTCACTGAAAAGCAAACTTCCCCCATACTTTCCCGTCTACTAAGGTATACTATCCCTTACTGAGTGTGCACGGGCGAGGTTCGCTGACCAAAGAAGGAACGAGAGACGATTACTAATGGGGGCGTGTCTGCATGAAGAAAATTCAATATCATTCTTATTACCTGGCATTCAATAAGTCATGATTTAGCAGTCTTTTCTCATCATCTGTCAGGTTTTGTCAAAAGTCTAACTGGAAAAAGAAGTAGACAGGAAAAAATGGACAGACGTGCACCTGTTTGCTCATCCCATGAAACTGCTGTGGAATCGGGTGATGGTCGTGCCCTGGCCATGACTGGTTGCGTGACATATGCATGCGTGGCTCGTTGCACCTTGCGCCAAGTACCTCACCTTGCACACCCGATCCCAAGCGCCTGGACTGTCTTAAGCTGCTACCTAGGTACCTTACTACTATACGAAGTGCAACAAGGAGGTGTGCTGAACAGGCAGAATCGGTACAACAACAAACAAGGAGGAAGCTGAGAAAAAATTTTCACGTCTCCTGCATATCAGGCACACGAGCAAAGGGGAACGAAACATCAGCCAAAAAAAAAAAATTCGGTTTGTCTGCAAACCTGCAGAAGCTGGTGCAATGCAAGACAGCACTTCTTTTGCTTCTATTTTTTCCGAGTCGGGCAGGCCGACCTTGGCCTTTGCTGGGTCGGAGACGTCCGGCTGGCGGCGGGCCAATCAGCGGCCAGCCCTGCGCAAACTCAGCCACACCTCCCGCGATCTGGTACCCGTCTCTCTCTGCCTGTCTGTCTCGCTGTCTCGCTGTCTCTGGTACACTAACGCCTGTCCAGGCTCTTGCTGCATGCCGGCACTAAGAATCGGCAGGGGGGGGAGTGTATCGGAGACCCAAGTTGAACCTAGGTAGGCTGAAGAGGGAGGGAGGCAGACAGACGGCAGCCAGATTCGTTCTCGGCCTGATCGACATGCAGAGCTCTGCGGACATTCGGGCTGGGGGAAGAAGGAAGAGCAGCTTGAGCAGTGAGGAACGGAAAGTTGTGTCCGACGATGCTGGAGCGCCTGTGCTCTCAACCCCTGTTTTTTGGACCGGACGCCGACCTGGATCTCGAACCCGACCTTGTCTTTCGGTGCTACAGTATTACAGTACTTGACACGACTGCAGGCAGCGCATGTGGACTGATGTTTTGAAGTGAACTGAGAGGTATTACAGCAAACCCATGCGCGGCTGAGATGCGCCGGGCGGCAGATGAGAGCTGCTACCTGGTACTATACCTAAGATAATAAGGTACCCAAGGTACCTAGTCTCATGTACAGTCCATGCCGCGTACGAATACGCGTACGTGTACTCCGGACGACGCAAACCCACCTGCACCTGCACTCTTTGCAATGCCGACTGCGGCAACGGACACCTTCAGAGTAAGTACCTACTCGTACTATGTAAAGAGATGTCGCGAGTTAGTAGAGCCACACCATAACCAAACCCCTGGGATGAGGGCTACCTACCTAGTCCAGCGTCGGGGACCCTTTTTTTTTCTAATTCTCCCACCACAGCCTCGTGATCTGCGTAGCCGGCCAGCTCGGACCCAGGTCGGGGAATCTGGGACGCTCCTCTTCTCAGGTTCTCAATGCAGTGCGGACCTTGTCGCTGCCCCGGAACCGCGGGTCCCCGAATGGCTTTGGCTTTCCGCTTTGACTCGATTGCTGGCCCTTTTCTCGCTCTCGTTCTGCTCGCCATCTCTTGCCTCTTTTCGGACTCGGCCCAGTTCGCACCAAGTCCGCAGATTCTTTGGCTGACTCATTGATTGGTCGAGAGTTTTATCGGCTCTGCGAGATTCCATGGCAATTGTCGTTTCTGCCTTGAGAGGGCTACGGGGGGCACGGCAACGGGTGTCGGGAGTACTAGCAGTGACAGCCCAGGACTGGGGTTTTTTTTTTTTTCGCCGCGCGGCGGAACGGCAAGTCGATTGGTTCCCGCCGACATCTCCGGTGTTGATCTTTTACTCTTGTATTGGATATTATGGCTCTTTGGCTCTTTGGCTCATCTAGGTAGGTTGATGGACACGTACCTACGGACTCGGTGGCATTGGTAATGTAATGGCACAATTGGGTGTTGGACGTTGAGGAGCTGAGCTGGCAGGGTGTTGATGGAGCGTTCCAGCTGAAGTTGGGGATATCTACTAGTTTGGTATTATTCTGCAGTCAGCTCCGCGAACTACTAGGTAGTAGCACGTCTTGTGATGGACTGTTGGCTGCAATAGCCAACAGTATATCGAGTCCAACATGCAATGTTCAATATACTGCAACAAAACAACCGATGCGGTC